CATGGTCTCTCCTACTTGCCTCCAGATTCAGCACAGGTAGCGACCACTGGTGGATTGCTTTGTAGCTCTCCTACCAGGTTGCCCTGAGCAATCAAAGGCAGCAGCTGACCCTTTATGGGAGCCCCTCCTAAGGGGCCACAAAACCACAAAATAACCACAATAACTGTGGTTATTTCCCCAGTTACTGAACATATATTTGAAATAGGCACATTTGGCAACAGACAGAATTTCTGACTGGAGGATGGCATCAGACCACATCAGAGCACCACCTGACTAGCCCCACAAGTGGTCTAGTGCGGTCTCAACAGGTACATGAGCCCACTAGGGTTAATTCCACTTTATAGGGTCATCCCGCACACAGCAGCTCATACACTATGGGCATGGCCAATCCTCACAGCCAGTCACCCCCAAGAGTCAATCTCATTCACTGACATGCTAACAGCAATCAAAGCTTAACTACAACGAGAGAACACACACAACACACAAAAAACACTCCCAGAACTCCCAATGCAAGTGATCAGAGAGAATGTGCCGCTGGGCCACACAGGGCACCTACGACAGAAGGCCACATGACCAAGACTGGGAGATGTAACAAATTTACCTAATACATAGAAACAAACACAGAAAGGCAACTAAAATGAGAAAACAAAGAAACATGCTGCAAATGAAACAACAGAAGAAAACTCCAGGAGAGAAAACTAAATAAAATGGAGACAAGCAACCTACCAGATACAGAGTTCAAAACACTGGTTTTAAGGATGTTCAATGGACTTGGGAGCTGAATGGATGCTCTCAATAGAACTTCAATGGAGAGAGAGTAAGCATAAAAAAAGGACATAGAAACCATAAAAAAAAAAAACAACTAGAAATGAACAATACGATAACTGAAATAAAATTATATTCTCAAGATTCAGCCATGTTGTCACAAATGGCATTATTTCATGTTTTCTATGGCTGAGTAGTATTCCATTGTGTATATTATCACATCTTCTTTTTCCAGTCATCAGTGGAAGGACACTTGGGTTATTTCCATGTCTTGGCTATTGTAAATAATGCTACAATAAACAGGGGTACATATATATTTACAAATAAGGGTTTTTGAATTTTTCAGGTAGATACCCAAGAAAAGGATTGTGGGGTCATATGGGAGCTCTGTTCTTAATTTTTTGAGGAGTGTCCATACTGATTTCCATAATGACTGCACCAATTTGCACTCCCATAGTAATGTATGAGGGTTCCCTTTCCTCCACATCCTCTTCGACACTTGTTATTTCTTGTCTCATTGATAATAGCCATTCTAATGGGAGTGAGGTGATATCTCATAGTGATTTTGATTTGCATTTTCCTGATGTTAATGATGTTTTACTTATTTGTTACTCTTACAAAATCTCATTTTTGACTGGATTCAGACTTAGAGGTAGAAGCTCTCAGAGAGGAAAAAGTCTATGTCTCTTGGCAATCTGTTCTTCGCATTTCTCTTTGGCCTCCTTCATTCTCTTGGCCAAAAGTTTAGCATATTCTGCACCTCTTCCTTATTTTTCTTAGTATGCTGTTTCTTCAGAGCAATACACCGATGTTTATGTTGCAGGATGCGAGGAGTGACAAGACGCTGAATCTTGGGTGATTTGGCCCCAGGTTTACCTTCTCTGTGTAGGGGCTTTCTCACAACATATTGGCAGACATCATCTTTAGAGAGATTGAAAAAAAAAAAAAGAAAAGTTTGTGGATTCTGCTAGCTCTTTTTGGCCCTAGGCGACGAGGCACAGTCGAATCAGTGAGGCCAGGAATATCTTTCTCCTCCTTTTTCACAATGACCAAGGTGAGAACACTCAGGCTGGCATCCACGGTGCAACTCTGAACAAATGTACGCTGTCTTTCTCCAGTCCTCCTAGGTCTATAACAGGAATACCCATTACTCAGTAGCAGGCAGACGGCCATTGGTCAAGACATGCTGCTTCATGGGTAAACTTTGTTTGTTTCTACCACATAATCCTTCTGTTATTCACCCAGAGCATCAGTAGCAACTTCTGTAGCCGTATGCTTCTCATAAAAGGTACGAAGTTTGCATTTATCGTCTATTTTAATGAGCTTCTGGCAGCTGGTGTCTGGGAAAGAGATATTCAGCTTCATCCTGAAGCAGCCGACTGCCTCCGAGACACCACCAAAAAAAAAAAAAATCATAGTGGTTTTGGTTTGCGTTTCCCTAATAATTAGAGATATTGAACATTTTTTCACATATCTGTTGGCCATCTTGGAAGTGTCTATTCAGGTTTTCTGCTTATTTTTGAATTTTTTGTTGTTGTTGTTGTTGAGTTCTGTGAGTTCTTTATGTATGTTGGACTTTAACCCCTTACGGGAAGTAGCATTTGCAACTATCTTCTATTATTTGGTTGGTTGCCTTGAAGAGGAAATTTCAGGATTTTCATTAACAGCTAATCAGCTCTTTTGTTCTGCTTCTGTAAATGTGCTTGCTGTATGCAAGAGCTCACTGTGGAGCTCTTTTGCACCTTGTCCTACTTGCCTTTTGCTCAACAAATGTACCTGTCCTACTTGGCTTTTGCTCAACAAATGTAACTGTTTGAACCATTTTTACCCCTGGCAGCTCCCACTTTCTGTAACAATTTGTATCTGTCGGCAACTCCTGTGCCTTACCAATGTTACTACTTGTAGTCTCCATATCAACACCGCCCCACCGCCACGCCACATGTAAGGTTTGAGTTCAAACTGACCAATTAGCTTGTGTAAAAGTTCTGATATATAGGCAATATTTCAACTGAGCCCACTGCCCAGATCTTCAGAGCACTAGCTCCTCTGGGACTGCGTGTAATAAATCTGAGTTCTTTCTCTCCGAGTTACTGCTTGGTGTTTCATTGGACTGGTTTGGGATTTTTCCACAACAGCCTTTTTGTTTTGTTGATGGTTTCCTCTTCTAGGCAGAAACTTTTTAGTATTTGAGCTTAATATATGCTCAGGTTATGTGACTTATTCCTTGGAAATGTGAAAAGAATGTGTATTTTCTGTTAGGTACAAAGTTGTATAAATGTCTAATAATCTAACTGTCAAATTCTCCATATTGATATTTATTTTGGTCTACTTGAGCTATTAATTTCAGAGAAGTGTAATAGTTTCCTAAGATGATTATAGATCTTTCAACTTATATTTCTAATAATTTTTGTTGTATATATTCTAAAATATGTTATAAGAATATAAAAGTTCATAACTATAATATCTTCTTAATAGGAAATGTTTTTGATCAATATAAAATATCTCTTTCTCATTTAGTTATCTTTGGCTTGAATTCTATGTTGACAGATATGAATTGCCAAACCTGTTTTCTTTTTGCTTTGATTATATTGTTTCAGCGGAAGTTTTTATAAAAGTTCATAGTTGGATTAAAAACAAATCTGAAGGGCTCTTTCTTTTGCTAGGGAATCTACCCTAATTTATTTTTACTGAGTTTTCATTTGTACTTAATTTTTAACGTTATTTTATGTTTCCTGCTTTTCAAACTTTCTAGTTGTTTCTTTCCTTCTTAACTCTTGTTGGATTGAGGGAATTTTTATTGCTTGATTTCTAGCTCTAGCACAAACTCCAGTTATTTGCATACCATTTTATAGTTTTGTAATATCTGCACACTACCTATGTTATTACTGTTTTTTACCTAATTACTCACCTAAACAACTATGTTAATTAAGATTTTTATGTAATTACTATAAAAGGAAAACCAATATCATTTGCCATAAATAGAAATTAATGTAAACAGAAGTACAATAAATACAAACTGATATTACTTCATTTTAGCCAGCTCCTCTTGCCTGCATGGAGCTTGTTCTCTCTTTGTTAAAAAAATATTAAAGAGAGTTAGATGGTAAAGATGTCATTGCACGAAATTGACATGTTCTAACTTAATCAGAATAATTGTGAATCGTGTTTTTTTTTTTCAATTCCATGTCTATGTGTCACCTAAAGGCTCCTCTTGATGTCTATTGTTCTTGAGGTGCATATTGTAGGAGTTTGAAAGTTATATATTCTGTTCTTGTGGTGGTAACCCTTAAAGTTTTAACATATATTTATACTTCGTTCTTTTTCTAAGTCTGGAGTTAATATCTATATTTTCTTGCCTTTATTAAGGCAAAGCTTTCACTTACCTCTCCTATATCCCATGTTAAATCATTCATTGTATATTTTCATTTTATAGGTGAGGCTTAGAGAATTTAAGTAAACTTATTTGAGTTCCATAGTTGGGAGTTGAACCTAGGCAGTCTGCCTTTGGAGACTGTTTTTCCTCTTTCCACTAGACTATACTGCCTAATTAGGGATTTTAGCTCCAGATTATGATTTATTATTAAAAAGTATATTATATAGCTTAAATATACATTTTGCCGGTTTCTCTTCCATTTCTTATACATACATCTTTTAGTTTATTTTGCTAAAGTACATTCTTGAGCTACTCTTTCAGAAAGACTAGGTATATTCTTTCTGTCCCTCACATTTAAATGCTAAGTTGGCTAGGTATAGAGTCTTAGATTCACATTTATTATTTTTTTAGAGTTTTGAAGACATTGCACCCTTCTCAACTCATATTTAGTGTTATCGATCAAAGACATGTCTGATACTATTCCTTATCCTTCAGAATTTTCTACCTGCCCTTTATTCCTTTCCTCTTACTGTAACTTCTGTTATCCAGACACATGGAAAAGTCCTCTTACCCATTTTTAAATTGAGCAATAATCTAAAGTATACAAATATTAAGTATAGTTTGATATTTATGTATATATGCTCCTGTAACCCCCCAGATAGAGATATAGATCACAGAAGTCTCCTTCATAACCCCATTCCCAGTCAATAAACCAATCTTCTCTTCATAAGTAGACACAATTCTGAATTCTATCACCATAGAAAAGTTTTGATTGTTCTTGAATCTTACATAAATGATTTCATATAAGTATATACTGTTTTGTATCTGGTACAAGTAGTGTTTAAATGTTCTTTCCAAATAGAAACTTGAGGAGAAGCTAGAGTTCTGGATGGAGAAATACGATAAGGACACAGAAATGAAACAGAATGAACTGAATGCTCTCAAATCTGCTAAGGCCAGTGATTTAACACACCTTCAAGACCTTGCAAGGACGGTAAGAAAGCAGGGTCTCAATAGTGTAAGCCTGAGCAGTGAGGAGTGGGTGGTAGCTAAGCTACAGTAGCTGGGTAATGGTATTTTGGGTCATGAAGTAGAGGTTTGCTTGTAAATGAATGGGATTCTTTTTCAATGATGATGATGATGATGACGACGACGAAGATGATGACAACATTGATGATTGAGACAATAGCGGCAGCTAACACTTAGATAGTACTTACTCTGTCCCAGGCACTTTACTAGTATTTCATATATATAACTTATGTAACCCTCACAACCTCTTGAGATAGATACTATTATTATTTCTAGTTTATGGCCTCTGAAGACAATTAGCAAATTATGATGTCCCAATTGCTTCTGATTATGAGTTCATCATTGAATGTAGAACTTCCCAAATTTCTCTTTTTAAGATGGCCGTTATTTGTATATGTACACAGCTTTTTAAAAAATTACATTATTTTTAAGTCATTAATCACACATCATTAGTGTTTCATTTTTATGAAAGACTTTAAAGCGAATTTGAATTATTCAAACTGAAAAAATTGGAGAAACAATTATAAAGTTAAAATGGAAATATTTACAATATAGGAATCCAGTAAGTTTTTTCTTTTCTTTGGTTTATCTTTAGATTTGTCATGTTTTAGTTTAAATTTTTTTATTAGAATTGCAGGGCTGGCTAGGTCACAGCTAAGCCAAGAGAGTCCTGTAAAATATGATTAATATTTTCTTTTGCAGCTAAGGGAGTATGAACAAGTCATCATTGAAGATCGTTTAGAAAAGGAGAAGAACAGGAAGAAGCTACAACAGGATACCTTGGAACTAAAGAGCATCATAAAGGTAGGAAGCTATAATTGGCTTCTTGGGGCCCTCTCAATTCTATAGTTGGCCTAACACTGAGTAATGCAAAGTATCTCTCATTTATTAGCAAATATATAAAAGGAGATGTGAGGAAGCATGGTCTTTGTGATTATTGGAATTTGCCAACACAGTCTGTGATACAGGGAGACTTAACAGAAAAAGACATGACTCCAACTCTTAATCCAGGAAAAAATAGGTGGTTAGTAGTGGAAGCAAAACCTAGAACTTGTGCCCAGAGGTCAAATTCAAGAATACTATTTCTAACCAAAACAGCTCTTGAAGTTCTTAAAACCGTATTATGCTTCTTAAAGCCTTATTTATAAGTTAGCCTAGGCTATCTGCTTTCTAGTAAGAGATGTTTTCAAAGGTGGGAGAAGGGGATAAGTAGTTTAGAAAAAAGTAGAGATATTTTAGTTTTATATGAACTTGTGTATATTAGTGATGACGAAACTAGCAGATCAGATTCTGGGAAATATTTTTAAGCAAAAATAACATTAGCTAGACTGAAACTGTTTTGAGGACTGCCCTTGTCCCTGAAAGAGGAGTATCTGCTGAAACCCTATAGTATGCAGACTGTAGTTTGGGATGTATATTAGGGGTGGATTAAGAAAGTAAGCTTTAAAGTACATTCAGGGACAGGTATCCGAACCCAAACTTGAGCATTCCTTTGGGAGTCAGATGTACAGTTAGTATTTATCAAGCTCCTATGGTGTTTTCTATTTGTCAGGATTCCTCCATTGAGAACAACAAGTATAAGAATGAGCTGAAGACCTCTTTTGGTAGATTTGCTCTGAAGTCTTTAGGGCTTAGTCTGAATTTAAAGTAGCCCAGACTGTATTTGTAACAGCTGTGTCTAATGACTAAGATACTTAAGGAAACTATCTAAATCCTTTTTGAGAGTATCGATCCTTTAATCAATCATTAAATATATGAAATGCACCAGGAAGTCTATTGAAGTCACATAGATTATCTGCAGAGTTTTGATTGAATGCTTGCTTTTGCCTGGGGTGCAGGTAGCTAACATCCCTTTTGGTTCAAATTGTTAGATATGGGAAAGTTGGATGTTCATAAAGAGCAGTAGTATAAGGGAGACATGTTTCTAAGAGCAAAGGAAAGATTGGCCTAATTAGATTCCTTTATTTTTACTCCCTGAGAACTTCAGAGTCCATGGCTTGAGCTCTGGGTCCTGTACAACAGGGGAGCATTGCTGTAGGGATAGCGTGCTTGGTCACTTTCCTGTCTCAGAGACCATTTTTCAGACATCTGTTACTTAATCAAAATCTAACCCCTTATGTAGAAAGAATGCAGCTTGTCAGGAATACTATAAATTATGCTTTCTCTTCCAGCTCCAGGCCTGGTGGCGAGGCACTGTGGTACGGAAAGAAATTGGTAGTTTCAGAATGCCTAAGAAGGATGTAGATGATAGCAAGGATTCAAAAGGTAAAGGCAAAGATAAAGACAAGCGGAGAGGCAAGAAATAGTGACCAGGTATCTTCTGTTTTTTCTTCTGGTATCCTGGAGATGAGGACTTGAAGGGAGTAAGAAACATCTTCTACCATAAGATCTCTCTTCTATAGGTTGTTTCTTATTTGGACATTCCCAGGAGTGGCCTGGTTATTTCATTTTGCCTGCTATATTAGTTTTCAAACCCTGAATTAGGATTATACTATTCATTTAGGGCTCCTTTATAATTTGAAAAAATTTTGCTGGGAAGAACCATTTTTAAGAGCCTTGTAAAGACACCTTTTGATAAATTTTCTATCAGAAAAAATTTCATGGGCTCACAGTGATGCATTAAAACCAGTAATATCTGTAATGTCTGATTCTCATTTTTATTCAATTAGTCTATAATGGAAAGACTCTTCTGAGCATAAGTGTTCAGTAGGAATTACAAGATGATGTTTATAAAGTGTCTCATGTAACATGTACACAGTGAAGTTTTAATAAAGGTTGCTTCTTGCTTTTTTATCACTGGTTTTTATTGGGGGTGATAGAATACATATCTTATTATAAGCTGCTTCAGCACCTTTTCTGGGGGAATAAGTAGGGAAATAAATTATAAAGAAATGAGACATTAGGATAACCCAAGATGGGGGACACAGGTCTGCAGGAAGATTAGTTTGGAGATATTTTTGATTGCTTATTTACTCAACAATTCTCACCTTATGGGGTATAAAATGCAAAGAGATAAGGTATGTGATAATACCTAACCTATGTCTGGCACATAAAGCTGATTGTCATTCTTCCTCTTCCCCTAAAAAAGAATGAGCCCACTGGGTCATTCTTGCTTTGTTTAATAATAGAATGTCTTGGAATGCTAAAGCTGTTCTTACAGCACAGCTGGCAAATTCTGAGAGAAAAACTGCCCAAATGTGTCACACATGTTTCATGGGTTAAGCTTTATATCTAACTCCAAATACAGGGCAATACTGATACCTATACTTCCTTTAAAAAGTACATTTTGATCTATTATGAGGACCCAGCTTCTACTGATGTTCCTTTAAGGAATTAGATACCTTTTCATTTTTTGCCAAGAAAACCATGCTTTAGGTATGAACATTTTCAAATCAGCCTTTATTTCATGCTATGAAGTGCTTTTATTTTAATGTCAATGTGTAAGGTGGCATACAGGCAATTAGAAATAACATACATGATATTGACATATTTATACTTAGAACTTATGCATTATATTTACAGACATACAAATATAGGACAATGTTTTACAAAATCTTTTACTAATTACATGTTTACATTTTCAGAAAATGAAATATGCTGTAAACCATCTCACTGCAATACGTATATAAAAAGGCTTCCAAATATCCATGTTTTCCTTCATTTCTATAACCATTTAAGTGCTTAGTTTTAAAAAATTCATCACACTCATCAGCACAGTCACTCATCATTAAGCACCGCTGAGCTGCAGCAAGTAAGAGAAATTAGACTCCTTGTTTAAGCTGCAAGGATGTATTTTAAAAAGCTGTTAAAGTGACCAACTAATAAGCCTCCTACTCTGTTCTAGCCAATACTAAGGTCCCTCCTTCCATGAGCTGTTTCCAGAGAAAAATGGTTTGGAGTGCTAAGCATGTATGAGTTTGAAAGCCCAAAAATCTGATGACTTAAAATCTCTGTAGCTGGCAGGGGCCAGGTGGGTGGGCACACAGCCTTTTCTTCCTTCACACTTCAGCACTGGGGAGGCTGCTGCTTTAGTAGGAAACTCACAAATAAATGGTCAGGCGGAACTGTTACAAAGTCATCTTCATCTTACACTGGAGTCTAGCAAGGCTAAATGTTAAACTTTCAGTTAAAAAAAGGTACATACAAAACACTGAATACAAAAAAGTCCAACAAAAACATCATGATTTGTTTTTGCATCTTGACACAGAAAAGAAATTCAATATATTCGATATTCTTTCATTATCAACTAAAACTGTACACAATTTTTTTCTGATAACTGAAATGTAAATTTGAATTAGTTTGATAAAAATACATTAACAAGGTTTCATGTGATGTGTAAAATCTGAAACAAGTTGAAATTTCCATTTATTCTATGGGAAAATTAGTTCTAAATGTTGCATATTTATGTCTTTCGGGATTAGTCCTTGCATGATATGTGACAAACAGTCCTGCCCTTTTCTGAGTTTCATTCAAATGGCTCTCCATAATTTGGAAATTGTTTGGAGGTTTAATGTGGACTAGAAGGAAAAATACCTATAGTTTAAAAATATACACAGCTATATTCTAAACAAGTCAAATGACTGGTGGGTGTGTTCGGAACAGAAAATACAGTGGATCTGGCTTTAAGCACTTAAAAGATATTTTACTTTTGTTCTGTGAGGACCCTGAAGGGCTGAGCTTTGAGCTTAGATGTTTTATGTTATATGATTTTAAACTTGGACAAAGTACAATGTTCTGATGAACCTGTTTCCTTGTGAGAACAAAACATTATTTTGACCAGCTACTCAACATGATTTTATCCGAAGTTACTTTTAGATGTTGCATTACGTGATCAGAGCAAGAACATTATACTCAAATGCATGCGTTGGTAAAGAAAACCCAGAACAGTTAACGGCAGAAAAAAACCTAGAGAACTACTATGTTCACTTACTCTATTTCCTTGGTTTATAAAGGTAGTGAATACCAACAGATGTCACTGACAACTAAAAAGAGTTCAAAATAACAGGAGAAGAAAGACCCCAGTGGTTTAATCTGAATAAAGGCTCCTGGCTTTGTGTTGCCCAAGCCCTTGGACCCTTTTATGCCACCTACAACTAAGCAAATAAGGCTCTCGTGGTGGAGCTAGATGAAAAGACAGCAAGCTGTCTTAAAGAAGCCACAAGTGCTTTCATTCAGCCATAGAAACTGGCAGAAATATAAAACCTGAAAAGAAGTATAAGAATCTTGGCTTTTCCTTTAATCTTTTTGCTTTGTTTTCATAATCTTCCATTAGCTGGGGAGTTGAAGTATATGTACCATGACTGGAAGGTGTTCACAGGTCCAGGTATCCTGGGGGCCGCGTGGGGGGATGGGAGCTCAATGAAGTCAATGCCAATGACTCTGCACAGCACACATGATTAGCCCAAGGATCTGCAGCCTGGGTGTAGTGCACATTTATAATCTTGAGATAACAGCAGGATGACACAGCCACCTTCTACGTGGTGGCAGACTAGAGTTGGGGGAGGCCTAAGACACTGGCTTTATATACAACTGCATCTTTCATTGTTTTAGTATAATGCAAAATCTAGGCCTTCTACATTAGTTTTGCTTTGCTTTAGACATAAGATTTTTTGTCTAAAAACCCAGTTTTATGTTATTTTTGCCTTGGATGTAACAGTCCAAGTGGTTGTAATGTAGCTTTTGATTTTAAACGTGGTTGAAAAACACAGTGGAGTTATTACTTCTCAAATCATACAAATATCTAGCTTGGAACAATGGTGTCCACTACATGAAACACCTGGAATGTGTGTTGAAAATTTAGATACCCAGGCCTCACTGTAGAACTACTGAATGAGAATCTGTATTTTAACAAATGCTCCAGGAGATTCTAATGAACAACCAAGTTAGAAACCAGTGGACTCTTAGAGGTCTTGGAAACAGATGAAGATAATAGAGCATGTCTGTGGCTTCAAGAGAGCAAAATATCCTTCTGAGAAGATGTTCTTTCTGGTACGTGAAAAAAGCCTGCTCTCTAGGAAAGCACAGCCAGTTGAGGCTTTTGTATTGGGTTCTTAGTGACAGAATTAAGTTTCGTTTGTGAAAACCAATCTATCTTCATCAACAATTCAATGGAAATGGATATAACCTCCCCTAAAATGGAGAAATGAAGCAAAATATTCCTGTTAGGAATCATGGAAACAGTCCCTTTTAAGAACACGTAAGAGCTGTGTTTAAGCAGATGGCTGGCAGCAGCAATCACGTTGTCCTGTTCCGTTTTGGCCAGGTCAGTGCCCAAGGTGCTGGGAGTCCTTAAACAGCAGATAACTGGTGCTGCTGTTGCTTGGGTGGGGCAAGTTCCAGGAGAGCCTGGACCGTCACTGCAACCTGGCTCAAACCTTTCTCTTCTAAAATGTGGAGAGGCAAACATAATTGCTCCTGAAATGGGACAACGTGACATAAAAACAAACACAAAAGAAAACAGGATGAACATCACGGAACTGAAAAAAAAAATAAGCATCTCTTCTCTCCCTCCTAATAATCCACTGAGATATGAAAAGTCAGTACCTGGGAAACTGACCTCTCTTAATATTAGTTACACAGAGATGGTAATTGACACTCACTGCTACTTTATTAATACAACTAAAAGTACATACAGATCATTTTGAAAAGTGGAAAATGGACAAGTTACATACACTTATACACACAACAGAGGATAAACAGAATACTATGGAGTGTAAGCAACATCTTTGATAAATAAAAGAGCAATGCAGAGCAGTAAACTGAGGCAGGTTTAAATAGAAAAACAATTACAAGTTATACCAGACAGCTCAAGTCTGAAAGATTTAATATTGCAGGAGAAAGCACTTTGGAAATTACATACTGTAGGAATGCAAGACTGTTTCATGCCATCACTCACTCTGCATTACAATTCTGACTCTGAAAATAAGGGCTGACAGGGATAATAGGAAGAAACTGAAGTATATCCCTGAGATTTAGACATATTTGAGAAACTTCCCCCTACTTTGGGTTATTTATAGAAGGCCCAATTTGAACTAAACATCTGAATTAGAGGGAAAAAAAAAAGCTATATGTGAAAAAACTAAAGTGTTTCATATCCTGGTATTTAATGGATTAAATTATGCTGGAAAATTGATGTGAGCTTAGTCAAGAACATCTTAATTACCATATATTTGAAAACTATTTACATGTTTGCTTAAGGAAGTTAAATACTTCTATCTTGTTTGCCTCATTAAGTTGTTTGGTTAATCTTTTCTTATAAGAAAAAGGCATATCTTAAGAATGAAACCTATCACTGGTTTTTCTTTTAAGACTAAGTATTTGGAAAGAAAAGAGACTGCTCTTACAAAGGACAAAAAGTGGAATTCTGGTTCTATTTCAAAAGAGACTATCTTTTTCTCAGCTTTTCATTGGCATGTACTACATTACTAGGAAGTTTTACAAAAACAAGAGCAATAAAAAAATATATACAAGTATTTATTTTGAAGAGTTATTGGTACTTGTCCTTACTTTTTTTATTTAATACTTACCTGATAAAATGAGGTAACTGCAATCTTTTGTTCTTATAAAACTATCTACCTTTTCAACAGCTGCTCTTAAGGAAAATTCCCTGATCTTTTCTCAGTAGTGCCCTGTGGCCTCTGTGGCCTGTGGTTTAGACATGCCCTCAGAAGCTATGCTTTCCAGATGCACATTTACCTTTCAGCTGGCTTAGAGGGAACACTGTGCTCTGAAAAGGTACACAATTACTCCCTCTCAAAACCACACACAAGACAATGTATTTTCTAGCAGATGTTTTTTAAAAGGACAAAACTCCACAAAATTGAATGATCTCTGACAGAAAAATCTTAAAAACGACAACCCCCCAACTCTTAAAGGCACCACTACTATATAAAACTGAAGGTTTTCAACACAGTGTTCAATGTTTCAGCATTAACAGTACACAGTATTTAATGTGGTAAATAAATGTCCCATTTAATATGGGAGAAAATCAAAGCATCAGACCTTCAAGCTGACTTCTACAAGAGAATGTTGTGTTCCTTGTGATCTCCCTTTATACTTGAGTTCAGTTGTCCAATTTTGTTAACAGAGTTCAGGAGATGCCTGAATGTTCAGAAACACTATTTGAGAACTAGAATCTGAAAGCAAGTATAAAGTAGTTTCAAGCATTAAGGCTAGCAGCTAACATACTAAGTATCCTGAAAGAGACAAATTCATTGCCTTGGGTGCACAACTGAGATTGCTGCCTAATACTTTACCTGCTACTGTTCAGATATAATTTCCTCAACAGCCTATAAAATACAAGTTCACTTACTAAGGTGGTTCAAATATACTGGGAGTTACATATATTCCATATTTTAAATTCTCAACAGGATTCTAGGAGTGAAGCTCAGTTAAAGATAACACAGTAAATAGGGGACATGTGCCTACCTCTGAAAGGTCAGCTTCAAATCATTTGCTTTGGTGTACTATTTTAAATGTACACACTGGGCTCAGAATAGCAATCTAGGGAAACTACATGATCTTTGGACTGAACATTCTGATCAAATTAAGGTTAAATGACTAGTGTCTTCTAGATGCCCAGAGAGCAAATGCTGATGTGGACCTGTGCCTACTACTAAAGGGAGATTTAAGGGCACAAGTCAATGCAGAGATCTTAGTGACCAAGTACCCCACAAACCAGAAAGGGTACAACTATGTTCCTTAAGAGCAGCTGTTGAAAAGGTTCAGCAACTCACAATTACACTTAAGTTGTATTCAGGCATGGGAAAATGGCCAAATGGGAATTTTATTATGCCATTTGGAAATAAAGTTCTTAGTCATATTCTAGGAACAGTCTCAGGGCTGTATTGGTAGAAATGGTTGAGTACTCATAAGAGAAACATGGCCACAGTCCAGGTGAATGGATAAATGACCAGGGGGAAAAAATGCTGGTCATTTACTCTTTATTAGTAATCATAAATGCTTACTAATGTGATGGACTGCTCATCTGGACATATGAGGAAAGGATTTATCTACTTTATTGGTTAGCTCTTTGATGGCCAGAAAGAAAGCACATATGTAAATATTTCTGAACGAGAAACAAACCTCCTTTACCAAGCAGAGGAATGAGGTGGAAAATCACTGGAATGCAATCTTTCTGCTAGACAGGGAAGACCCAGTAATAAAGCATACAGAGAGTTAACATTAAAGTACAGTAAAATGCCACAAAACCCAAAAGCTGGACAGATAGAGAGACAAAACTGGATTCTTCTGAATGTGCCCCAAGAGAAAGTAGTGTTTCAACAGTTCTTTTAACGCTGAGGTTTAGCTGAAGGATGTCAGAAGGGGAACAAAGATTGTCCTGTCCAGAGTGTGAGCAGGAAAGGAAAACAGAAAAACAAAGTCAGTGGATCAGAAATACAGATTTGAGTATAGAATTCAAATGATCATCTCAATCATATTCAAAGAAACACATCTCATAACATTTTTACTATGATGAACAAAAACAAAATGCTGGAAAACAAAACTATGAAGAATCCTCTTTGTGCCGAGTTTGATTTTACCAAGAAATAGCGGAATAAATTGGCTGGCTGGTGAGTAGTGTGAACATTCAGGACACAATGAACGGAACTGAATGCTGGCTTAGGGCTGTGTGAGGCCTCAGACTTGTAAGGCCTGTGGGAAGCGACCTCTTTCTTGATTCTCATTCTCCTTATTAACAAAAAAAGAAAAGGTCAGAAAGCAAGGACAAAACCTGGGAGCAGGCTGAGGAGAGAGGTTTTTGAGAAAGCCAAGTAAATCAAGAAGGTTCAAATGAGAAGGAACACCTAATAATCAGGGCAATTTACTACCTGGAAACCAGGTATACTAAAAGATTCGGTGGTCCTCTAAAAATCAAGTCAAACCCATCTTAAGCAAGTCCAGTTTACTAATACGTACAAAATGAATCTACAGACATAAGGGGCCTCTGAGATCATCCAAACCTTCCCATGTATGGATTAAGAAATTAAATAAATTTAAAAACATTACTGGATTCGATTAAAGGAAAATATTCTTTAACACATAAAATATAATTCAAGGATGTAAGATATTGGAGTCAAATAGAAATTTTTATCACCCATTATAGTTTTTTGAATGGAACATATTTAATAAAAGCATAACAATAAAGAGAATACCCATATGCCCAATCTTATCAGAAGTTTTTAATAATCACATTATTCAATGTTTCATTCATAATTTAACCTGTAAACACTTTAAAAGTTACACTGAGAAGGAAATTGTTTGCCTTTACACATACTCTTGACATAGAATTTGATATTAACATTTATAATATGAAATTTTATATTATACAATTTCAAAAGCAATCATTATTACATCCCTGATTACAACTCAAACAGAGAAAATGGGGACATTTAGGTAAGTCAGAATGCCCACACACAGGGGAGAGCAAAGGAAGAAGAGGAAGCACAGGTTTCTTCTTTCCTTCTATAGCACAGGGACCTGAGAATGCTGGTTTGAATCTACAAGTGTATTTATTCATTTTCCTTCACTTTGTTCTAAGCAAATGACTAATGTTTAGCAGAAATAGCAGCATAACAGGAACCCATCTAAAAGTGGTGGTGGTGGTGGTGCTGGTGGTGGCAGAGACGAGGGTGGAAGGCAGAAGAGAGGAAGAGGTGGCCTATGTGGAATGTCTACTTCCTCTTTCTGGTGGGGAGGAGGGAGAGGAAGAAGGATGTGTCAGGAACCCCAGTCTAACCATCAAGTCTTTTAAAATTATATTTTTTCTATCTCCTGCCTTCAAATAGTATAGCTCTGATAGGAACAAGGGTAGGCTGGCCCACAATAAATAATACTGTTAATCACTGTTCGGCAAATGCTGAATTAAATGCATGCTTTAAGATATATTGTTTTTGTATTTTTGCTGATGGATGGCAAGTACATTCTGAAAGAATTTCAGTGTATGGACTTTAAATGAGACAGATGACTGTTCTGTAAAGCCCAGAGTACAGGTACAATGACGTTAATAAACCCTGGCAAACAGCACTTTAACAGGTCTGACACAAGCTAATTCTGCTAACATGTCTTGCTGTTTGGGGCTGTTTTTGGCACTCTCTTCTGTTTGCAGGGCCTCTTTTAAATCAATTGTATCTTTTTCTCTGGTTGCCATTCCCTGCACGAACCCATGCCACCTTCTCTTATTCAAAGACACTGTGGTATGGAACTGGGGCAGGTACGGGACATTCTGTGTAGTGTGACGATCAGGTAGGGACGTCTTTGGGAGACAGAAGGGAAGCACTGAATGTTAATGTATGCCCCTGAATATTAGAACCTGTTTATTAATATGGAGAAAATGCGTGCTATTTGTTTAGAAACCTTATAATGCTCTCAATATATTTAAAAATGGTTTAGTCTAAAAGAGATGATGAGCCTTAGAAAACTATTATGATAAAAAATGAGAAATTTTCTTGGAATTTGTTCACAGGAACAAAAAAAAGGTCCTTGTTAACTATCACTAAATGTAAATTTCAATTATAATTCAACTTAAAAAAACACAAAAGAAAAAAGTTAAAAATAAATAGTATTATCACAATCTGCTTAATAAAAGATGAAAAAATAACCACGGGCATTCACACTAGCTAAAGCAGATTGCTCTATGGAGCAGGGCTCTTTCTCTTCCACTTTGAACATGTGAAAAAGCTGAAAGAGAATGTTGCTCATTGCACAAGTGATGTGACCTTCTCAACTCAGTTAAGAGACAGGAATTGTGAACTGGATAAAGAGAGTTACTGTCATGAAAACTATCAAGACAAGGGCTTAACTTCAAGAGAAACAGAGAAGTTGTTGAGTCCAGGGGCCATTCCTGGGTTACTGACAGCTAATTAAGAAGGCAATAGAAGAAACATGTTTTCCTCCTTAAAGGTTGGATAAAATATGTTGATAGGCACTGCAGTGGTGTGGTTAATGAAAAAAAAATATCAAATGTTGTTTATTTCTTTAAATTTATATATAGAATTTCATTAAATATAATATTTCTTAAGAGTATCAGGCTTAGTTGGTTTAATATAACTGTTTTTTAAAGGAGTAATTAAATAAAAAATATATCAAGTTCATGTGCTTTAATCACATCTATAAAGTTTAATTTTTCATACTATTAAAGAGCTTTAATAAAGCTATAACTGATGAAGCTGGAGGAAATAAATCTCAATAGCCTAAAAATCTCAAATGCCTAGAAATGGCCTCTTATGTGCTAAATTCCAAAGTATTAGAGCCGAGTGGAAAAACTGGTGAAATCTGAACAAAGTCTGTAATTTAGTTAACAGCATGGTGCTGGTGTTTGTTAGTTTGGATGACCTACTATGTTTATATAGATGTTAACAGTAGAGGAATCTGGGTGAAGTGTATATAACAACACTCTGTGCTGTATTTATAGAATTTCTCTAAGTCTAACACTTCAAAGTAAACATTTTTTAAAAATATTAAAGAAAGTGTTCAAACTGATGCCAATAGTGTTCTCAATCTGACATGTACTTATTTTGAAGCATAGACTACTGTGTATAAAGATGTATACAAGTCAAATAGTGAGTGGGAATGTTTAGAAAAATATCAGAATAACTACTTTTGATTACTTAGCATTAATTTTTACAATATATTTAAATTTATATGCATATGATTTCTTGGTCCTTAGAAATAAGGGAAACTACTCAAAAGCATGTTGACTGACTGTAGTAACACAAAATCATGTTAGTAATATATCAACTTAGTTCAGAGCTAGTCCTATAAGATTTTAGATACCTGCATTTCTGAAAGATTTTAGGAAAATAATACCCAAGTCTATTTAAGCAACATAAAAAATGATAAATTTATTACCTGAGGTACACCAATTTTTCTGCAAGCTTCTAAGAAATTCTCCACATTTCGCCTGCACTTTGCCATTGTTAATTTAGGCTGCAAAAGAAAAAAATGTGGTGTAAGTTACTACCAAAGTTTGAAAACTTTCACTAACTGTAAAAATATTCTTGCCAATTGTTTCATAAACTCAGTGCTATGAATCAGAGGGTCAGCAAACTTTTTCTTAAAGGATCAGATAATAAAGTTAGTCTTGAGGGCTATATAGTCTATTACAACCACTCAATTCTGCTAAGAGCCTGAAAGCAACCCAGACGATATATAAACAAATAATTGGGACTGTGTTCCAATAAAACTTTGCTTAAAAAATAGGTGATGGCCTTGGACCACAGTTTACCATTCCTTACTTCAAACATTTGGCTTTGATTTTTTTAAGGCAGGTGCTAAATATAGAAACATTTTAAAGGGATAATTGTTTAATTTCTTTTTTCCATTTTAAGACAATACATACAAAGAAAATTCAGAAGAAAAGCAAGAAAATTAATTACCCACAGCCCCATCATTCAACTATAACCACACTTAACAATTTGGTTCATTTCCTCTTAAGTCTTTTTAAAAGAAGGTAATTTTTTAAAAAGTCAATAGCCTTTGCTCATGAATATGCTGCAGATGCATCATTTCTCTACCCAATGGCAATATTTAAATTTTTTTAAACATTTTAATTTTAAAAGATTGGATTAAAGAACTAGTTTTTCTGAAATGATCTCTAATAACTAAAAACACAGAATTGTATCACATGACCTAAAGTTGTAATAAAGTTTTTGCCTAGTGGGTATGGGTTATAATATAAGGAAAAAATATGAATTCCATTTCTCAGAATGATTACCAAACTCAATTCTTCAAGTTCACTGGTTAGTTTTCAGTATGTTTAAGCATCAAGCATGGATGCCAAACATTTGCAGGGACACTGACTTGGAGCCTTTGTAAAGGTAAAAGCCTGGACCATCTCAGAAAACATTTCACTTATAAATATCTTGGGTTTTTTTTGTTTTTTTGTTTTTTTTTTTCCAAAAATGGAATATTGTCACAATAAGAGGGGAAACAAGATATTACATAACAGTGGTTGAAGGTACTTTTATCTTGACTTGAGAAAGGAAGCAAGGGCTAGGACTGGCTTTATTATGAAAGATAAGTTAACAAGTGAAATGGATGAAAAGTAATAATAATTTTAAAATTGAAAATTGAAAAAAATTCAAATTGAAAAACTTTCAAAAAGGTTGAGAAAGAGGATAGAAATTAATTAGGTTTCTATGGGAGTACCTTTTCTTGACTATGCCAAATTCTTCATAAACAAAGTAAAAAAAAGTTTTTTTAAAAAAGGTGTAACAGATAGTAGAATCATTATCAATTTAACAGGAGAAAAACAATCATGGGGTTCACACTGGCTAACTCATAATGAAGCGGGGCTCTTTCTCTCCCACTTTTTATATGTAAAAAAGTAGGTTGTTCATCAGAAAAGTGATGTTGTATATTCTAAACTCTTGGCCAGTTAAGACAGGGAGGTAAGGTGACCTGAGGCAAAAGAGAAAAGTCACTGTGGCGAAAGCTACTATGACAAGGGCTTAACTTAAAGAGAAGTTAGGCAAATTAAACACAGGACAATTGCTTTCACTTAGGAGAATTTTTATTGGCTAGAAATTTCCTCTTTCTGCATGTAGAAATGGAGGTAGAAACAATGTAACTAACTTCTCTTATTATGAAGAGACCTTACTTGAGCAAACCAAGATCCTGATATGAGTTTGGGCGAGCAGGCAGGAGGTATATGCACAGGGACACTATGGATGAGAGACACTAATAAAAGGAGACCTGTTCTACAAAAGAAAGACCCCTAAATTTCTGAAACTCTACCGTTCAGATGCCAACAACTATGAGAGGGCAGAATGCAATAGCTCTGACCATACAGGCAGAAAAACAACTTTGTTTCTTCACAAAAGAAGGATAAAAGGATAGAGTTCATGTTGCTAACTTAAAAACTAGTCCAAGAATCACCACCATCTCAGACAAAAAGACCGCTCAGAATGATCATGAGGTCTAACTCAGCACTGTCTCCATGACTATTAGCCTCCTAAGACATAAATGGTGTCTGTGTGTGGTGTGGTGGGGAGTAGAATAGAACATTTCCTTTGAGATTTCCCTGCAGTGAACAGACTTCTGACTTAAGAAGGGGAAGAGGAGTGGGGGACCATCATCTCTTTCTCCAGTCATTCCTTCCCTTAGCATTTATCTAAATTCCAGGGATGTAGATTAGTGTTTCATAATTGGGATACAACTCCTTATAATCTGATGAAAGCTGTGAATCTACTCTTGAGCAGAATGCACATAAACACAATTTTAGGGAGCTGACGGAGCCCTGGAAGCCCTAGGATTGCATGAGTCCCAACCTACAAATCCCTGTTCTATGTGTCTAATGGAATGGCCAGTCAAAAGGGCCCTGGGGTGTAGACTCCCTATCATGCTGGAGTGCAAGACTTGTGATTTTGCCTTAAGACAAATCTCATAGGAACCTGCTTTCCCCAAAAGCTTTTCCAGAGTTTCGGGTGACATAACACATGGTTTTGGATAGCCACAAACTGCCTGTTCTATTTCTATACTGTACAATCTGATATGAATAAGAAATCTTATGTAGGTTTTGAGGAAGAAAGTAATTTTAACAAGAACATAATCTATACTGAAAGGAACAATAAAATAATTTCTCTATTCTGGAATTTAAAATGATTCAGAATTTTTTCAGGTCATCTTGCTTGGTGATATGGTTCATTCATGATATGGCCACATCATGTACTGATTTCTGATATGATTCAACCGTGCACTTTTAAGAACGTGAACTATACTACTTAATACCTATGCCTACTGAAAAACCAAACAGCAGTTGACCAAATATCAATGATCCTCCCAAAATAACAAAGAAAGATGAATTACAATCTAATGGTTGCAAACATACATGCTGTTCTGCATTTCTTTAAAAATGCCTGGACATAAGACCTCCCCTTACAATGAGGGGTCATTTTTTGAATTGAGAGAAAGAAATCATGGTTCATACAATATATCAGGAAAGTGTCTGTTAAGTTACACTCAGAGTTCTAGTTAGCCAGTCGTCCAAAAATTACAATAAATCACCATACATTAATGTAGCCACAAAGAAACTGCTATGGTTTTTCATTTGTATTTGGCTTTAATTTTATATTCTCATCCCAAAAAAATCTCTAAGAAAGTAAATTACAAAGCTCTTGGTATGGTCAAAAGAACAAAATAGGGACAAAGTAGTTTAATATGAGGAAGAGCAATTCATAAGAAGGAAAAAGGTGTAAATATTTATATTGAAATCTAGTATTGTAACAGAAGCTCCATTAAAGCAATATTGACTTAGTCATAATAATCATTACCACGATTTGAAAGTACGAGTTTTTGTTTGGTTTTTAATTAAAATACTGAACAATTTTCATCTGGTTGATTCAAAAAACATTTTTTTACCCCCAATGTTATAATTTGGGAAGTTTTACATATTTTTTAACTTCAGAGTTCATTTATGAACCAAAAAGATACCCTCCTTAAACCATTTTATTTAATAGGCCTACTTGCTTTTAAGTGTCAAGGACACTATTTCATGCAAGAGTGAATATATTTTTAAGAGAAACTAATATTCTTGAGAGAATGGACTTACAACTCATCTCTGTACCTTTCGCCCCTGTAAGAATGCTTGAGGTGCTCAAAAGATATGAGTAAGAGTAAGTTTTGTTGTTGGTTTTGCTAGCAACTTTTAAATACTGTAATCTCATGTTATATTGATATTTCTTTGACTAATAAGAAGGCCCATGTATTTTATTTCTCTAAGTGGTTAAATATTTGTAAAATATTTTTATTTTTCCTATATGTATTTTACATTCTTAAATGTAAGGCACTTGTTCTGGTAATCAAAGTAAAGAACTTCAGTCATTCTTACTGTCAAATTCCACTTTCTACACTAGCTCCTTGCTACTTCCTAAGTTACCCCCAGAAATGAAGAATGACAGATTTGTCCTTTTTTTTAATTGTTAAATTTGTTTCTTTCTTAACTCAGGTGACAGAAATTTGGAGGAATGCAAAGTATGAGTAACCCTTCCTTTACTGGTATTGCCAAATAGTGCATCCATTTTTATTCTCTTAATTACTACCTTTAGGACCAGAATCAAGTCTTTCAAGTCTTTGGAAGTATAGCTGACTTTGAGCTACTGCTCCTCTCTGCTTTTCCTACATTGAAACTAAATCCCTGTTTTCTGAGGTCACTAAATAAAAAGTGGCTACCTACTTTCCTTAGTAGCAATGTATGACTATTTTTGGATGTGCTAGGGGGGAACAGGCCATATCAGCCTCTTGGGACTTTGATAACAAAGCAGCTTTTATACTTAGAATACAAGGTCCTTGGGAGGGATAAACGATTTGTATCTGGAGAGATAGAAAGATGAAAATCCAGAAGTGGCAACCTACAGGCCTAGATATAGCTGCAATTTGAGTGAAGAATTTGTGCTAAATAAGAACAAATGACCAGAAAAAGAGATGAAGTCAAATCTTTTGAAAAGATTAGACACCTTAAGCATGTTAAAAATACATAGTATCTATTTAGTCTCATCAAAAGAAGGTGTCACAACAATCAAATACAATGTGGGAACCTTGATTATATCGTGTGTGTGTGTGTGTGTGTGTGTGTGTGTGTGTGTGTGTGTGTGTGTGTGTTGGGGAGGGGAGAGGAGGGAGAGCAGCTATGAAAGACATTCTTAAAACTGAGAAATCTGAATATAACTTGTAGATGTTGTCGGTGCCTCACCCAGTGTTCCTTTAACTAGCCTATGCACCTGTCCTTACCTTCTATCCCCACTACTAGCTGGCTGATAATGGCTCACACCTTGAAGGCAGGAGGGCTCAGTCCCCATTATCAATCAGTAATTTGCTATGGGGAAAAGCAAGGTGGCCAAGACAATTCTCTGAAATACTTAGAGAGTAAAGTGTTACGATATTTGCCTTTTAAATAGTGCAAAACACACACATACAAATACAGACAAAGCAAGATAGCAAAATGAGATAACTGTCAGATCCAGGTGGAGGCTTTAGGAGCGTTCCTTGTATTATTCTTTCATAATAAAAATTTGAAGGAAAAAAATGTGTGTCGACCCAAAGCTTGCTCTTTTGAGGGTTGTCATCCTGATATTGACATCTACATCTGACCAGCAGTCTAAAGAAAACCTGCCAGTCATCCTACATTTATATTCTTTCTCCCTCATTTTCTACTGGAGATTGGTCACTAGATCATGTCAATTCCACTCCTGAATAGAGTCATCATTCTAAAATGCAATTATAATCACATTATTCTCTTCAGATTGTTCCAGTGTTTCCTCATTGTCTACACAAAGATAAACTTCTAACTCCCTGATGTGGAACATGAGGCCCTTTGTCATATGGCCCTTGACTTACCTCTCTAGCTACATCTCCTGCCATTTGCATCCACGTCTTGTACATAATCTATTCTGAACTTAAGAATTCCTTGAATATGCCATGATCTTCCTTATCTTTTCAATCTAGGAGTAATATGCAGAGAATGCCTTCTTCCCTCTTTATAATGCTGGCAAATTCCTACAATTTTACCTCCTCTGGGAAGGCTTTCCTGAATTCTTCAGGCAATATTAAGTGGTCCCTTTTTTGTATTTCTCTAGCACATCTCTTACACACCTCTCTTCTAACATGCATCACACTGCTACAAGTTATTGTTTATGTGCCTATTTTTTCTCTAGCAGAAGTGAGATCTGGAAAGCAGGGACTGGACTATTCATATTTGTATATCTAGCATTCTGTATAAGGTCTGCCATTATACTTAATAAACGTCTGATGAATAGACAACATTTTTTAACATTATAAACTTACTACAGCTGGTGAGGGAACGTGAATGCTTGGGACAGATCGAGGCCGCACATGATTGGCCAAATGGCAAAGAACAACACCATCTGTTAGAGCTGCTCCAAGATCACAAGGCAGAGATACTTTCAACCGGTATTCAATATGCTAAAAGGACAGGAAAACATGTACTATATTAATTGAAGAGTGGCTGACATAATGGACATAATGGAGTTACAATGGAATATATTTAATTAGAAATCAAGATAAAAAGCAAATAACTTAAGTACCACAATCCCTATTTTATCCTTCTATCTTAAGTCAATAGGTTAAGGAGAGCAATTACATATGTATGGGTAGCCAGGCCACAGTGGTACCAAGTGCCACAAGAGAAATTCATTTACAATTTTCTGATTAAAAACAAACACACACTAGATTCTCTTTCAACTCCAAAATAAAATTAACTCTATGTATAATGTGTGATATGTATGTGTATACACGTGTAAATTATCATTACTCTTACTTTTTTATAACGTGAGGCAGAAAAAAATTTTAAATGAGTAGGGCCAGGGATTAAGCTTTATAGAACAACCCATCTCATTTTCCTTGTAAACAGTTGATTAAGAGTAAAATTTCTTTTACATTCATCATACAGTGGGCAACACAGTACACAATGGACACTTGTTTATTCTATTAAAAAATACAAGTCAAGTTAACAAGAGATAGCAGGATTATGGGCTAGCTATAGCAGTATCGATGAAAAAGCATAATTCAATGGTAAAGTACACACTTTCCGTAGTTGATCTATTAATTCCAGCTCTTCTTCTCTCTGCCTTGAATTCGGTCTTGCTATGAGATCTGCAGACTCAGAAGTAGGCGCAGAAGACGAAAGAAGGGGTGAAATGTGACCTAAAAATATGAGTATGTAAGATAGAACGGCAATTGCCAGTGCTGGAAAAACACCCTGAACTTCCTAATCACAGTTTCCTTGCAAGTATGTACTTGCTACTTCTGGATAAACTCTTTTAAAAAAGGTTTTATTATGGAAATTTTAAAATATACACAATAATAGGGAGAATAGTAAAAAAAAAAAAAAAAAAATTCCATTACCCATTTGGCTCAACTACTTTTGTTTGTTTGATTATACCCACTTAATGTTTTTATTGAAAAACAAAACACAAAGAAAATTACACACACATCATAAGCAAAGAGCTCAATAAATTATCAAAATGGACACAACCATTATCAACACCCAGAAGCCCCTCTCAAGCTCCCTACCTACCAGTACAAAGGTTACTTCTAATACCACAGGTTTTAATGAGGACTTCCTGACTTCTAACCTACGGATCGGTTTTGTCCTTTTTGAACTTTCTATAAATGAAACCATTATTATATATCTATGCTTTTGTGTCTGCATTCTTTTGATCAACATTGTAAGGTTTATCTATGTTGTGTATATTAATTTGTTAATTTTCATTGCTTATATGGTATACCATTGTGTAAATTTACTATAATGATTTATCCATTATATCATTGATAGACATTTAGTTTGGGGCAATTATGAAGAGTGTTGCTATATTTTTGTACATCTGTTTTGATATACATGTGTACATATTTCAGAAAGCAAAATTGCAAGTCATAAGATATACAAATGTGCAACATTACATAATGTAAACAGTATTCAATACTAATTTACAATCCCACCAGCGGTGTTTCTCTGGTTTGATTTTAAATTCCCTGTAAGTGCATCTATCAGTTACAATAAAAGCAGTTATTTTGGACTTGAAATGTTTGTTTCTAATTCTCAGTAACTTCTTTGTGCGCCAGGTAAAAATCTGTCATATTAATTAAAAAAACATGAGAATTAAGTAGATTTAAAAAATTACTGACTCATTTCTTTAAGAACACAGAAAACAGTTTTTATCAACAAAAAAAATCTGAGAAAGAGCTCATTACAGAGAGGAGGAACATTCTCTGAAATCCTGAGAGTGTTATTTGTTCAAACACTATAATCTGCTTTTAGGTGGTACTAAGAAACTTTCCCACTAAAACAAATTCAAACAAGATTCTCTGGCTTAAATGTAATATCACAGATAAATGCAGAGTTTAAAACTTTTGCCAATGTGACATCTCAGCATAGATGTTTAAAAGCATATAACAGTTAATGTCATTATATAACCCGCACCCACCCACCCACCACCACCTTTTAGTCACTACCTCCTACCTTTATTTGTTTCTGCCCTGACAGCTGCTCGGAAAAGGAAACTTTCAGGGCGCTGAGGCTGGTTTCTCTGGACAGCAGCAGGAAAACAATATGCAGGGGAATGATGAACTAAATCAGCATAGAAAGCAAAATTAAAGGAAATGGAAAAACACTTAATATAGTAACAAGCAAGGAAACTGTGATATGTCACAAAAGTTCAATAAATGGAAAATAAAGAAAAAATTGACTTAAATGTGGCAATGATATAAAAGAATAATTTTATTAATACAAAATCCGGTACAGAAAAGTAACACTGACAGGAGGAAGGCTGCTTGTATGTACTTTAATTATCATGTTATTTTTGGTATATCAATAAAGACAGAATGAATGTTAATATATCAAATACAGTCTCTTGAAAACTTATAGCACTGCTAGCTCACGCTCATTTGTTCATATCAAATGGCTGAGTAGTTAAACAACCAGTTACATTAAAAAATTGAAAATGTGTAGAAAGTTCCCAATTTTGTGTCTGATTTCACATCTCAGAAAAGGAAAACACAGTTCTCTAAGAAGTAATTTATCAGGAGAATCCTGGTAAAGCATTATAATCTTTGTGTGGTTAATTACACCTCTGTGTCTGTTACCTGTTTCTGTTGTTGGTGAACTTGATACAGCATTAGATCTGTCATCATTCTGTGGAGAGATAAGATTTTCATCAATAATTATTATTCATGAAGAGGTACTCTCTACATTTATGGAAACTTTGGGATTATTAAAAAAACATGCGTCTATGGCCATGCTACCCTGAACGTGCCCAATCTCGTCTGATCTCAGAAGCTAAGCAGGGTCGGGCCTGGTTAGTACTTGGATGGGAGACCACCTTGGAATATCAGGTGCTGTAGACATTAAAAAACAAAACAAAAAAACGTACAATTCTTCTTCAAAATTAAGTCTAGAAATGAGAATTCAGAGTAATGAATTAATTTTTTATTTTTTTAAGGTCAACCTTTTTATTTAGTTCTACAGATACAAGGTTTATGTAATGCATTCTCTAAAGATAGTTCTATTATTAGAACTGGCCTTTCCTATGATTGTGAAAAATGATCATCTCAAGGCAGAAAACTTTATTGGGAAATGTATTGGAGAGAACAAATTTTTATTTTATAATAATAATTTTCTGGTATAGTTTCTTATGTAGTTTCACCTCCCATCCCCCACGGAATACAATTTAAGGTGTTAAAAAAGAGTGATGGAGGTTTCTTCATTTCAGTTAAGAAATAAGGTGTTTAAAGATGATAGAATCTGTTCGGAAGAGGAAAGTGAGGAGTTTCTCCATGCTAAGGACTAACAATGGACACCCAGAAGGACATTCAACCCCAAAAGCAGGAGCTACTTGATATATATCTGTGGAGGATGTCACACAGAAAATGAAATAAAATCCAGAGATCCAATCAGATGCAGAGAATGTGGATACAGAATAATGTATAAGAACTAAAAGACTTGTTGTTCTGAAGCTTGATAAAACATGGACTTTAGAGGAATATCTTTGTATTTGGATTTGCTGTTAATGTTGTAGAGCTTTTGATTACTGCACTTATCTTTATGAATACAACTATATACACATGATTTCATTAAAAAAATATTTTATTTAGGTATCTATTAATAGTTTATATAAAGAAACTATTTTTTTGTTCGGTTACATGATTTGTGATTTAATATTATTATATATGTCATCTGACACACAATGAAGGTTAAAAGTGCTTCCCCAAATGACACTTTTAATCAAAACCTAGAATCGTCTGTGGCCATTGCCACCCTGAATGTGCCCAATCTCATTGACCTTGGAAGCTAATAAGTAGGGTCAGGCCTGGTTAGTACTTGGAAGGGAAACCACCTAGAAATACCAGGTGCTGTAGGTGTTAAAACAAACAAACAAACAAACAAACAAAAACCTAGAATCACTTGGGGCCCTTGTTAAAATTTTCTAGGGCTCTCAAAAAAAAAAGATTATAGTCGTATTTCCAGAATGGTATTTGAGTCCGAGATGTGAGATGTTTTTAATTCTTTAAACAAAGGAACTGTAAAAAGAAGAGCTAGCTCAACTGGTGTTAAGTTTACCTAAAAAGGGGGAAATGCAGATAAGCTAATTTAAAAAGAAGTGCTAATTGGTTGGGTTAGAGATATTGAAGACTTGGCAGGAGAGTAGAAGAAAAGCTAGAGTAACAATTTTTCAGGCTTTGACATCTAGTTATACGCAATAATTTAAATATAACTTTATGATGTAAGAACCAAGACATATTTTTGAATTAACAGAACGACTTTAAAACACACACACAGAGACACATCTGCTCCCATGCTTTTCTCTCCCCTTTGGTTTCAATGTTTTCAGAAATCTTTTATCTCTAGTTGGTGTTGAGTCAGATAAAATTAATGATGACAGGGAATTTTGACTGCTTAAGTAAATAAACAAGAAGCCATGGGGTTAAGAAAATTCTTGGACAGATCTGGAAGACAATTTTGTGGTAACCAATCCTTGGTTTGACCCTCTTAGGTTTATAAGGAAACAAAAGAAAATTATTTCAAAGAATATGAGTTAGGAAGGAGAAAGCTAGTTAGTTAAACAAAGACCAGTTCGAGGACCAATGGCACAAACAGAAAAACAAAAAGTAAAGATTATTCCAGGTATAGAGGAAAAATATTTTTAAAAAATTTAAAAAGACCTATTAGCACGAGTCAGGCTAGCAATTTAAGTATAGTAAGGAATAAAATGACAAACGTTAACAGAAAATTAATTGAGAAAAGCTGAAAAAAATTCCAATGAATGGCAGCAAATATTCTCAACCTCCAAAAATGCCAAAAGATAATATTATCACAGTTGGGTGTAAGGAAAAACAAAGCCAGAATAAAGGGGACTTGTAAAATGATGACTTAAAAAATGTACTTTTATTAAATCTAATTGATTTGCATTCTAGGATTACTAAATAATTGGTTCAAATCACTCACCAACCATTGACTATATCTGAGAACTCGTGGAGAACTGGAGACCAAAAAAGTGGAAATTGACATGAACTCGACTTTTATGTCTGGTTAAGCAACAAAAGAAATAAAATCATGCCTAAATATAGCATATACCTGCTGTAAAGTAACTGGGATACCAAAAAACAAAGAATAAATCTTTTTAAACTAATCATCTGACAGTGTAGCAAGTCTGCTAGAAAAGTTCGACTTACTACAAAACTTTTGACATTCACATTTGGCCTTTCTCAAAAATGATTCTGGGAGACAATAAGCCCTAATGCCCTAAGGTATCCAACGAGTGGAATTAATTAGCTTCTCTCCTGTACATCTGGAATGGAGAGAATTTTGAAAACAGTCCCTCAGATAATTTTCTATGTTGTTTTTCAAATAAGAAACCTAGCTGAGAAAGGCTAACAAAGGGTTAAGACAGAAGAAAATTATAGTTTTTTCAGAAGTCATCAGGTATCTATAGCATCAGAGAGGTTTGTCAGGTTTACAGATGTTATAAAAGTTGGAGTCAGCATTTAGAAGGACATGATGTAAGAATATGAAAGTATTCTGGTAAATTAGAGAAGTAAAAATGTTCAAAAAGTAAAATTAATTTAACCAATGTCACCATTAAAAAAAGTAAAATTAAGTATTTAGGAAAACAAAAGATACAAGATATGGAAATTAATTATCATTTAGAAATATAATTAAAACTCTAGAATTATAGTGGATACTGAACAAAATTAATATCGAAATGAAAAAAGTCAACTTAAAGCTCAAAGTAAGTCGTGAAAAACGCTCATTTCATGCTCAGCACCAGGCAAACTCTAATGAGGGATATATTTCTCATTGGGAACTGTGAAGACAAAATGGAAGGCAGAGAACTTGTGAAAGTTCATAAAGACTGATAGACCAGGAAAGCCATGTAAAAGGATCAGAGTTTATTTAGGGAGAAGACAAGGATGGCATCAAAATAATTTTCAAATACAAGGATTCTTGCATAAAGACTGCTTTTTACTAGAAAATGTCCACTCTAGAAAGAAAACAAGTGTAAACTACAGGAAGACAGAAGTTAGAAAAAGAGAGGACCTTCTTGACAGTGGGGATTATTAATCATTTCTTATGTATTGTATGATGACACATGTGGAATTACTATCCCTAGAGGCCTTCAAAAAAATAATATACTACAGGTTCCTTATTTAGGCTTCCAGGCTATGTGCTCTCTGTTGCAAGTATGCTGTTATGCATGAAAGCAGGCACAGACAATACATAAATAATCAGGACTGGCTGTTTACCAAAACAGGTAGCCTAGGGGGCCACAGCTTGCTGACCTCTACTGTAGAGGGTTTTGAAAATAACAGTTTTGAGGACTGGAACTAAAATTATTTTGCATGTATATTAAACCACAGAGTGAATATGATATTGCATATTAACCAAAGCAAAATAAGAAGTTATGATAAAAAATAATCACTAATAAGAAAATTAGAATGACATTTCAATCAGAACCTGAATATAAAGAATTAATACAGCCTTTATGACTGTCTGGCATGATAAAACTGTCAACAAATTTCAAGTGAAACTAATGTTAAACTCAAATAGTTTTATAAACTTGGGTTTATTTCATGCAATCCTAGATTTCAGATTGCCTGCTGTTAGACCAACCCACCGGAAAACTTAAGACCTTCACTATATACCCACTTCCCAACGTTGATGAATTATAGTAACAAGAGATACCTTAAGAGGCACGAAGGCAGAAGAATGAGGCACGGTAGCAGCAAAGCCCACTTGATTCAACCCTGACAGCGACTAAATTTCAAGAGAAACAGAAGAAACAGAAGGCGGCATTTATGTTAGCAAAATGTCTGGCAGGCAGGCAGGCAGGCAGATCAGGTCAGTGAAATTAGAAACTTTCTGTTTCTACTTTCAGTTTGATAAACTTTCAAATGGTTTACTAGGATATTGATAGGGCAGAAAGAGATATTTGGAGGAAAAAATCCATAATTTATAAAAGTTTATTTACCTGTATAATTCAAACTATTTCAATACCTCATACTATATCAATTGAGAAATAAAAGGCATAATTTATTGAAAATAATTCTATTTTGAAATAAAACTGATCACATCACAATTTCTTTAGCAAAGCAGCCTTGAAACTAACGAATCCTGTGCTGTTCCTATGAAGGGGGCGGGGAGCAGTCAAAGAGCTCATTTTAACTGAGCAAAAACCAACATGATTTAGAACAATATTTTTTAATATTAATCCAAATTAGATTATAATTCAATTTAATGTCTTTGATATGAGAAGACAGGACATGAGGATTTTTGCATCACACCTTAAGGATGAACCAGCATTTAATTTCTGCCTCTGTGAGGGTCCAAATAACCTTTAAGAGGTTAAGTAGAATTTTCCTTCTTTAAATCCTTTACCCATTCACCAACCTACATATGATTAGTTAGATTTTTAGAGACAGTCATTGTACATATTTTGATTACAGATAAAAGCTGCTCAAAACATGACAATTTTTTCATTTGGTGATGAGTGGAAATCAGAGAAGACACGACTTTCACAAAGGGTGGTGCATAATACTGTACCTATTAAAACAACAAAATGCTAAAGGCTTAATGATATCAAAGGCTTTATAAGTTAAATAATTTAAAGAAATTTAAATTGGGATCACACGTATCTGAATCATGGGATGGCAGAATAATAACACATGCGAGTATTTAGAAAAAAAAGTGTGCAGGTGGTCAATAAAATAAATACAATTATTTTTCATAAGACTTGATGGACAGCAATGTCTTTTTGTTTTCAAAAAAAAAGAAAAGTATGTAACACACACTGCAACATTATGTTAAGGCAGAAAAAAAGTGAAAAAGAAATGCAGTCAAGAACAAGACCGTGACAACGTTAATACAACGTGCCTATGTCACCTGTTTAGATTTCTTGGTCCTCCTTATAATCAAATGTGCTGGAATTACTGTCAATCTCAAATATAAAAAAGCTAAAAGCCATTATGTTGGCAAAGAAGGAAAAAAAGGAGTGAAGGGAAGAGGAAGTGAAATACGCACTTCTCTAGTATCTAGAGATGGGATATAGATATGGACAGGACACAGATGAAAGCAACAGAAGCCTGAAGAAGGCCAGCCCTAAGAGAATGTTAGTATAACTGACATTAACCATTACTAATACTCATTTCAAATTCTATATTTCAAAGTCTTTAAATCAAATTCAACATTTATCTTGCTATACCATCTGACCTTTTCATCAAGAAACAATTCAATGAACAATCAACCATTAGATGCACAACATTTACATGTTCATTCAGGAAATATTTATTGAGCACCTAATGTATCCAAGAAACTATGATAGGGACTAAGCATACATAAGTAAATGCAATAGAGAATACCACTGGGCCTATGAAGCTACAGTCTAGTCGTCTAACAGGGGAGAGATGTAAAATAATCAATACCCACCTAAAAGTACTATGAAGAAAAAAGTAACAGTGGAGACATAAACTTGATTTGGGGGTGGAGTGTTCCAGAAAAGCCGTTTTAAAGGTGTCACATTTAAGCTGACACCTGATAGATGAGTAGAAATTAACCAAGGGGTATATGCAGGGAGGAAGAGGCATTCCATGCAGAGGGAAAGGTCTTTGCAAAGGTCCTGAAGTAGAAAAGGGCTTGCCATTTTTGAAGAGCTGAAAAATGCTGGTATAGCATGAGCCCAGAGATGATAGATAGAGGTGGCAGTCATAAATATATAGGAATATACAAGAGCTTATAGGCCATGTTAAGAAATTTGGACTTTATTTGAAGGAGCCTGTAGGCCATGTTAAGAAGTACGGACTTTATTTTACCATAGGAATCCACTGAAGAGAAGTTTTGAGAGGATCAGAGGTATGATTTAACATATGACTCTTCTGCACAGTGTTGGATACTATTTGGCACATAAAAATATGTGAGACATGGCTCTTGCTTTTAAAAAGACCATCTAATTTAGGTGTGACAAGAATACTGATCATTAATACAAGTATATGTGTTTTGAAAATGGCTGAAGGCGATTTTAAATTCCATGCTAAGGGGATTTTGTTGTTTTTTCAAATTCTACTTTTTCCTTGACAAAAAAGTCTGGGCACTCACACTTCTATCACTTATGTGTTATTAAATCTCACCTTCGGTTTCCTAAATTGTTTTCAATTATAGGAAAGTATGAAATTATAGGATAGTATGAAAGGCAATACAGCATGGTGTTTAACGTAGGTTCTCCAGTCAGCCAAATCTATATTTGAACTCAACCTGGCACTTACTAGCAATTGACCTTGGACAAGTCGCAGTCTGGATAAGACAGTCTGTGCCTCAGTAATCATTTGTAAAATGGTGGTATGTTTAACCTTAACCATTAAAGTTGCTGTGAGGAGTGAAGGAGATAATTCTGGTAAAGAATATGAATCATCATAGGCTCTTAATATTTTCCTGCATTAATTTAAATTATCAGTTACTTCTATACCAATTAACTTCCACTAAAATTACAGAGGCTGGTGGTTATATTTATCTATAGGACTGACCAGTTAAGATATGCTTTATCCATCTCAAAGAAAATGATGATTGATCGCAGAAATTTGAACATAGGAAGTTTAGGTACCAGGAATCTCATATTAAAGTATGTAGTTCATGTAGTAATATGCACAATGGCGACAATAGCACATAAGACAAGAATTGTTAGAGACAGTAGATTTTTGAACTGCTAGTTTTAATTATTACCATGAAAAAATAACATAAAACATGATGGGGGAAAGTAATTATGTAAATGGTTAGAATTCTCTTTCAAAGCTGATGTAAGACTTTCAATAAAGCTCTCATGTTATACTCATTTTCACCTGAGTTTGAAAAATGGGCAGGGAGGGATAATCTTGAGATGTTAGTATTTTTTAAAAGGTTGGGATTTTCAGTAGCTTAAGACAGATGATAAAACAGGATGCCAAAAACACAGTTGTAAAATTAGCATTGTGGAGTAAGGGAATCCATTTAACACACAGGTGACTCATGAACCAAATTAATGATTAATAAGTAAGTACACTTAGAATTAGAAATGACATTTAAAAACTAATACATTATGCCTTTTTCTCCCAATATACATACAAAGCCAATAAGGTTCTTAGTGCAACTATTTTACTTTTGGAAACACTAACAAAGATATTTGATTCATAGCTGCAGAGCACTGGAACACTGGGTAAATCATGAACAGTAACGCAGAAAAACAGTTCTAGCTATTTGTAAAGCATTTAGTAATGACGACCATCATGTTTTATGGTATACAGATCATTTCTGAATGCACACCAACTAATCTCCAATATCTGGACACAGTGATTTAAAATCATTTTGTGCAAAGCTCTTACCACTAACAAGGCACTATCATCAGTATGCTGAGACCTTCTGGATGGGAAGGGACACTGGAGAGGTGGAGAAAATGAAGCAATATCAAAAACAAACTATGCACACACATGACGTATTTCACAAATACAGAAGCAAAGAGACATACTAAGACATACTTGTGAAGATATTAACATATAGGACTATATTCACTATCATTTGGAATTCATGTACTATAATAGCTAATAAGTTGATGCTGAGTAATGATTTTCTTCTGAAGAGCTTAAATAACTTCAAATATGATCTAATTGCCTCAACTTTCTAAAGCAATAGGGGATAGGGATTATTTTTCTGAAATATGTGTTTTAAAAATGGCTGAAGGCCATTTTAAATTATAATAATAATTATTATTATTATTCAGAAAGCTGCAGTATAGATGGAGCAATAATATAAGTTTCTGTGGTCATTTAGTGAGCCAATGACAAATTTAAAAACAATGTACTCAAGAGTCATGATTTCTAGTCTAAGTGTCTCTTCACATTACCTTTCTCAGACAAAACGAAAATATAACTGGAAATTTTAAAACTGTTATTTTCCTGAGAAGCTTTAGTTTTTAGACAATGTATTCTCCAGAACAACCATCAAGAAGAAAATATGGAGTAAAAAAGGAAGAGTGCATTAACTTATCTAACTTTGGTTGTCAAAAGTTTGTACAGAATTATTACCATGTGAAGACAAGACAACTGAAAATATTTAAGTGAATTTTTCAGGTATTATACCAATGTGTAAGTTCTCATATAAACAAAAAGTAGTTACTATTATATCCAATAATATTTTTAAAACTTTCTAATTGATAATTTAAAACATTTCCAACAATATATTTTACCATTCCAGAAACACTTATGCTTTAAAAACACTGCTGTGAAAATTGATGCTTGTAAAGCCCCGTGTGTTAGGCTTTCAAAGAACTTACTTTACGAAAAGCAAACTCAAGATTCACATGAAATAGTGCTTTTATGCATTATTTGAGGAAATAATGATCATAAATTGAATAAATGAGAAGGCAAAGATAAAGGAGAATGGTTAATTAGAATGCCAACTATAATAAAAGTATTCATTTAGTAAGCTTCATAATCGAAATAGTGCATACATTTTAAAAAGGTTAAACAATTTTACATGTTAACTTGTAATGAAAACGTACTAAATGTTATAAAACTAATGTGTACAAAGTATAATCAATAACATACACACTTAGGTAATGAGCAGTGAAGCTGAAATACTATGTAGATTGTTTAATACGGACACCATTCACCTGCGCCAGATAACCCTTCTCAGGACTATCTCACTACACAGTATGCTATGAAAAAGGGTGAGGGAGATGACACCTCTGGTGAGGATGGGGAGGGAAACAAATAATCTCCAGATGGACCTGTATAACATTAAAAAACCCTGATCTACAGATTCTGACAAACTCCCTGGCCTGTATTTTTTCTCCCTAGTAAGTAGAATTTGTGAGGGGAAAAGAGAATATGGCAATATATTAATCACTGAAAACATGTGATAATCACACATCAAATATTTCATTGCAATAATAAAAAATTCCAAAGAAAAGGTAATTATATAGACTTACCTCGCCATCTAAGGGGGGTTGTTTTTGTGTACTGTGTGGTGCTTTTTGCTATAGACCCCCCGATACCCCCCCAAAAAAGGAAAGTTGGTTAGCATCTGGAACACTAGAAATGATAAATTCTACTTACTAAAATAATCACATTAATATCTGTATCTGTGTGCAGCACTTTTCTAGATTTACTGGTTAGAAGATGTTGCCCTTCCTTTTAAATAACTTACAATTTAAATGAGGAAAAGCAATAAAATGACAACTAGTATTTTCATATTTCTATAAGCATCTATAAACAGAAATTTTTTAAAAACTATGTTTTTATATGTACATGCATACAAACACATTCACAAAGTAGTAATATCTCACTGTATTCTCTCAGTGAAATCATTCTCTCTTTCTCCAATGGCTTCAGATGTCACTCTAATGCTAACAGCTTTAGTTCTTGTCAGCCAAATTTCACTTTTGCATTTTCGACAGCCTATGGAAACACTCTACTTGGAAACACTACTCTCACTTCATGTTGAACATATTCAAAAACTAACTCACAATTTCCCTTACTAACTGACTCTTTTCCCCAATTTGCTAATTTCTGTTATCATGTCAAACAATATTATCTATATAGTCAGCGTTTTACATTGTGTACTTGTACATAGTATCTTAAGTGATTCTTCTTACTCTGTAAGATAATCATCATAATCACATCATTTGAAGATGAGAAAATTGAGGATAAGCAAGGTTATGTGGTATGTGCAAGGCTGCAAAGATGGTAGGCAGCATAACTGAGATTTGCACCTACTGTCTTTTGACTCCAAATCCTCTATTCTTTCCACAATGCTAGACACCCATTAAAACCATTCTTTTAACCTCAAAATCTTGCTTTGGGACCTCCTCCTCCTCCTTTTTTTAAACTCATCTTCAATAATTTATTCAAAAGTCACCACATAGCTATGTATAAGACATAATGATGCTTCTCTTGAAATTTTATAGTTAATTTTTAAAATCCATTGTTTTGGTAGGGGGTGTAGCACTCACCATACTAATAAAAGTATTAGATGTATTCACAATAATTATGAAATAGTTAATATTTAATAGCTAAATGTTACACATATGAGGAAATGTTACACATATGTTACACACTAAAAGCACAGAGTGGTTCGGCAACTTACCAAAAGTCAAGCACATGCTGAGAAGCAAAGCTGGATTCAAATTCAGGTATTCCTGATTCTAAGCAACACTGCTTCTCCTTAGGAATCTTAGAAATTATCTAGTTTTATGCCTTTATTTTGCACCCTCGTCTAATTATTGCAATTTTTTTCATTTTCTTCCTTTCTTAGTCTCTTTCTAACATATTCAACATCAATAGATTAGTTTTTCAGAATTATCTTTCCTCTCATGTTTTTCTCCTACTTAAGAATTTACAACTGTTCTCTTTTGCTGAATATATCAAGATCAAAAACTCTAATCTCACAATTAATCAAGACTATTTACAATATCATTATCTCTTCATAGCTATATGACTTCTATAGAAGGCAAGCTAAATGAGTTACAATTTATGTAAAAAGGAGAGAACAGCACTTAGGACATAGTATGTGTTAGCTATTACTATTACGGAGAGTAGTATAGCATTGTGATCATAGAGTAGGGTTTGAAACCAGTCTTTTTTTTTTTTTTAAAAATAAACGACTTTCCATTAGCCTTATTTCCACTTTCTGTTCAGCCTGTCTTGGTTAGAATCCTTACTCTGCCCATACTAGCTGAGTATTTAACCTCAGGCAAATTGTTATCTTCTCTGAGCATCAGAGATCACCAAGGACTGATACATTTGAAAAAATTAAAAAAGAATTTATCATGTGTATGATACTTAATGGTACTTAAAGAAGATGATCTTTGATTACAGTTATAAAACACAAGCTAGAAAGAGTTTGGAGGACAAAAGTGTTTCATTCACTTAACAAATATTTATTAAGCTTTACTATAGGCTAAGACCTGCTAAAGATCTAGGGATATAACAGTGAATAAACAAGACTGATGTGGTTCCTGTCTTCAGGAAATTTATAGATAAATGGGAAAGACAGATATTAAATAAACAAAAATACAAATAATTTTTTAATTATGAAGAAATAAATCCAAGGTGATTTCAGAACAAAAAGACTTAAGTAATACAGGCAAAACAAAACAAAAAACAGGCCGTAAAATGTTTAGAAGGAAAGAAAAAAAGAAAGATTAACAGGGATAGTTAACTGAGTAAGTGTGGAGTGAACAAAAAGGAATCACAAGATGACTCTGAAGTATTAAACCTGTGAGCCACACAAATTTTTGCACAGTGAGGAAGTCAGAGATAGGTTCAGATAATAATAGTTTACATTTGACACTTTCATTTTCATAATATTATTAATTTTACTAATGCACCAGAGATTGAAAAAATGGCAGGGGGACAGTAAAGTGATATGTCTAATGACAGATTGCTAATTAAGAGGAAGAGAATACTGTCCTAAGAGCAAGATCATCACTTCTAATTGTTTTCAGGTTTATCTACATGAGGACAATTAATCTAATCACAAGTAGGAAACAGTTACATTATTTATTCAAGATTTCTTATGAGGAAAAAAAGTTAACATTTTAATTAAGACAATAAAAACTGACGGCCTCAGCAAAACAAATAAGCACTTCTAAGGAACTTTAGGAATATTATTAAATGCATTCAAAGGACTTACCTTGACAAAGTCCAGGACAGCATCTCTCTGAATCTGCTTAGTCCTAACTTTCTCCTCCTCATACTGCAGGGCAGCAAGCTGTGCCTCTCTCCGAGTGCGCTCTAATTGTTCTCTTCTCCGATGAAGTTCCAAGTCTGTATGTGATAGCTGGAACAAAAGTTAGTTTGCAAATGCAAGTGGGGATAAAAATCCAACTTATCAATAATCCTTATCAATTTAGGGAACTACTGCTGACCCAACTTTTACTTTGCCACCTAGCATTTCTTTAAATGTGTTTGTTCATTGCTAATCTTTTCTCATCTTTGTACTGTGTTCTTATATGTACTATAAAGCCATCATATGGGTAAAGATTTATTTGTGTGGTATCTAAAAATACTGTTAGCAAGTATCAGCTACACGTTATAGTAATTGTATAATCGAAGAGATGGAGTGAAGTAGCTATCTGGCAATTAATGATAATTTAGGTATTATAAAAGAAGAAAACCATCACAGTTAAAAAAAAAATCAAAACTAAAACAGAAAATATTTTTACCTGATTATGACTTGGTGATAGTGACAAGAGAGAAGATGGCTCGACTGGAACCCTGACCCAAAAAAGAAAAAAAGAAAACTCTTTGAGAAGACAGACAGATATAGATATATAAAAGACAAGTGAAACTTCATTGTTAATGTTAATAGCTTTCTATTAATCAATAGACAAACTGTCTAATCAGCACTGAAAGACTAAATGCATTTTGTAAACTTGAGCCCAGGTCATTAAATTAAGTTACAGGAATACCTGATACCTCCAACTCATGTTTCACGTGGTATCACTGATCAAGCTATAGATAGCTAACAACTGTCTGTGTCAGCCAGTGCTGATGATAGTTATTTGAGATCACTATTCAAACACTATCATTTCTTTATACCACAAATAACTATTATTTTCTTTACTACAATGACTGAAACAAGACATGTAAACAGAGATCATTTTATACACAAAGCCATTTTATCAACAGAAATCTGGAATATTGCAGAACCTGGTAACTGTACTTGTAAAATACTCTTACTCCTCAACTGATGAAACAATTTTAATAACAAATGTAAAGATTCCGTGGATTTTTATTTTTAAGAAAAAGATGAAACCTAATTTGATACTTTAAAAAAATAGTAAAACTTGCTTCTGTTGTATTGGTATTCTTATAGTTTGGTATTTATCTTTTTCCTGATCTGGATTTAGAATTTCAAGTCTCTGTCACTCATTTGTGTCTTTGAAACTAACAATATTAGAGCAGTAACATTTAGGACCTGAAAATTTTAAACTACGATTATTAATTAGGCTGTCAGGCTGATTTAAATGCATTAAATCAGTGTGTTATTAGGGAAACTAAAACAAATCCTCCGAAATTCATATAGTTTCTTATTACTTACTAATAATAATATTCTTCAACCTAGAATTCAGGACACTCATCCCAATTAATACACCATGAAATCTTTTCTTTAACAAGATCTCTTCAGTTATCATATATTAAATCCTTAAATGCCTTTCTCAAAAATCCCAACCTATAGAGATCTTCTTAGAAAAGGTCTTTTTAAGAATCTCACTTTTCTTTAAAATTGGGACTTTTTTTTTCTGGATGTATGTGTGTAATCAATACTTCTTTTGCATTTATCGATGATGATTTGTGCCACTTTTTGGGCAATATTTTTCAAAGGCACATAGAAACTAACATTCCTGCAGCTCTGTTAAGTACACACAATACTTCTCAATTATTCCTCATAATAACCTTATGATCTTATGGAGTAAGAACTATTACAATCCTTATTCTGCAATTGAGAAACTGGGGCATAGACGTTAAGTAACATCCCCCAGGTGACAAAGTAAGTTGTGGAGTTAAGATCTGAATCCTTATGTATCTGGTTCTGTAGCAGTTTGCATGCTTAACTACTAAGCATGAAAAAACTGAGACCCACAGAGGTTAATGATAGCAATTTATTGACAGAGCCTGGATTAGAATTCAAGGTACCTGACTTGTATTTAGTGCTTTCTACTAAACCACATTTCCCTATTCTATAGCAACAGAATCTAGGAAGGAGAAAGGGAAGAGCACAAAGATTTAAAAGCATCTGGGTACACACAAAAAATTTACCTGAGATGGTAAAAACTAAATTGCGAAAAGTTAAAAATGGAGGCAAAGAGGGAAGCACGGCATGTGAGAAAAAAGTGGCAGTGAAGAAGACATTTGAGAACTTAAATTATCCTCTAATTTAATCACCAGGTGGTAATGTTGGCTTATCATTGCTTTCCCACTCCTTGGTGTCATGACATTTCATGTTGCATGACCTTTTCATCTATGAATATGTTACTTAATGGACGTATCACTGACATTTCAGATAATATTTTTGTTGTACAAAATTGTCCTACCCATTATTGATAGTTTGGCCTTAATGCCAGCCAGTAACACCTATAATCAGTGTGACAACCAATTTCCACAACACATAAACATATGTTCAAATATCCCCTGGGGGAGTGGTGCTATGCTCTGTTGAGACACGCTGATCTACCTTACTCTTTCCTGAATTTTAAAAATATATAAGAAAGCAAAAGAGTTACAGTATTATTCTTTTTCTTTCCAAGTTTTTTTCTAATATTAGTTCTAAATCTTTGAAATATTCCAAAAATTCTTTTAAAAAAATTTCTAGGGGTGGCTCCATAGTGTAGGGGTTAGCATGCCTGCTTTACACACAGAAGGTCCTGGGTTCGCCAGGCCCCGGGTGCACCAGGTCCCCCGAGTGCGCCGGGGGGTGCCAGGCCCCAGGTGTGCTAGGCCCCGGGTACATGCCCCATTCATGTGGGAGGGGACGCCCCATTCATGACATATTATTATAAACTAGCCCAGAGATCTACTTCTTAAGGGGAAGCGGCAACATCCACAGGTCAGGGGTGAAAGTGGAGGAGAGAGGGGAATTAAGGGGGGCGAATTTGTAGACACTAAAAAAATAAGTTATTGACAGAATAAATTATGTTTTTAATTTTTTAAAAAAACAGAATAAATTACTTAATAACTTCCATGAAAAAGTTTAAAATGACATTAAAGCCGGGGAAAACCTTCCTTAACTTTTTACTAATCCTTGCCAACCTTTAACATCCCTAATCAGTGCATCTTTAGACAAAAGTTTTCAAGGTAAAAGGAGGAGAATGGAGAATTAGGGTAAGATTTTTAACTGGGATATAACCAATAAAGAATGAGAAATGAGTGAGTCCAGAACCATACTAGTCTGCGAGAAGCAATATGGTACAGTGGTTAAAAACATGGACTTTATAATTAGTCATGACTCAGTTTGAATCCAAGGCCTGTCACTTAATAGTAACTGACTGTGGATATAAACGAAAAACTCCTACATCTGAAAGCACAGGCTCAAATAAGGGAGGATTCCCCCAATGCTGCCAAAGTAAGAACTTCAAGGCTTGGAGCCTGGACATTACACCTGGATGAAGGAACTTGCTTAGCACCAGAGTACTGTTGAATATGGGAGTTGATGTTGTTTTTGAATAGCTGACATGGCTGCTTGGTATAAACAGGCAGTTAGCCTATAATTCCCTACTCTTCTGAATGGTGAACATCTCAATTTGCCCAGGTCGCTTAGATTCATGTCCTAGATGCTCACCCCTCAGAAAATAACAGAGGCAATGGGAAACACGCTTAGCTATGTACATGCTTTGCACTGCCTAATAATTGCTTTGGGAATAATCTACCACCATTCATATACATCCTCACAAACCAAGACCAGTCTCTCCATGGTTTGGCCCAATTCAATGAACTAGGAAAGTTATTTAACTTCTCTAAGGCTTATTTTCCTCATTTATAAAACGAGGATAATATAAACTAAAAAGGAAAATAAAAAAACACATTCTAATGATTACATATTTAGAGTAAGAGGCATAACTGCAACTCTGTCCCAAAATTACTAATTTCACTGTTAACATTTCCTATAGCTTTTATTGGCCATTTGTAGATGAAGTAGACCAAAAAGTAGAAAGGACCAGATAAACCCATCTCAAGTGGGTTTACGTGCCCTGATTTGACAGTATGTTTTAATAATATGCTTTTCAAGCAAAACCTTTTAATTGGTAGAAAAAAAGTAATTTCTTTTTAGCAATGATTAATGGGCAAGTAGCAATCTGTTAAACTAACTCAATTCCTTTGAGTCTTTGTAACTGGAGGATTAAGATTTTTTTGGTTAACCTATTATTCAGGTTATAGACAAGTCTTGGTAGCCAGACAGCTGCCAGTCATTTTGAGGTGATTTTGTTTTTCTAGGTTCTAATTCATGATTTCATTTGAATGTAAGCTCTAAGAGGACAGGGGAACTTTGACATTCACAGCTATTTCCCAATACCTAGAAAAGTAGCTGGCATACAGAAGATATTTAGCAAATATATAACTAAATAAATGAAGCACAGTAGACCCTTGAACAATGTGGGAGTTAAGGCACTGACCACCCCTGCACACAGTCAAAAATCCAAGTATAACTTTTGAGTATAAGTTCCTCAAAAACTTAGTTGTCCTTCGGTATTCTCGGGAGACTGGTTCCAGGCTTTCCGTGGATACTGAAATCTATAGAAGCTCAAGTCACCTATATAAAAGGGTGTAAATCAATGCATCCATGGACTCTCAACTGCGGATCAAAAATAGTACTGGTATTTATTGAAAAAAGTTCACATATAAGTGGACCCATGAAGTTCAAACCTGTGTTGTTTAAAGGTCAATTGTATGTGTTTCTTTTAGACCTTAACTGGTTATTGGAATAAAGTATAAAGTCTTTATCCAAAGACTATTAAGGTCTAGTGATTTGAAACACCCAATTAAAAGTACAATAGACCCTCTATATCCAAGGGCTCTGCATCCGAGGATTCAATCAACATTTCAGTTGGTTGAATCCACATACATGGAACCTGGGGATACAGAGAGCTGACTAAGACTTGTACATTTGAGTATCCACAGTAGTCCTGGAACCAATCCTCTATGGCTACTGAGAGGCAACTGTAATCATGGCTTCGGTTTCTTGCACTGTGGCCGATTAGACACTCTAAATGACTCTTTGATGGAATCAACTAAAATGCTGAATAAAATAATCTTTTAAAATGCACTGCTGAAATGCCATGAAAATAAAGAATCCATAGATTCTAAAAAGAAGTAAAAACAGGAACTCTGCATTAAAGTTTGATAGGCAGACTTTTAGCCCTTATGATCTCTACCCCTGGTGTTACTCCAATGAATGCATGTCACAAGGACTTTGCAGATGAAATTAAGATTACAAATCAGTTGACCTTAAATTGGAGCTTACCCAGGTGGGCATAATATAATCACATGAGCCTTAAGAAGAGGGCAAGAGAGTTTGTGAGATGCAGCAGAAATGGAAATCAGAGACTCAAAATGTGAGAAGGATTTGGCCCTCGACTCCTGGCTGAAAATGGAGGGAGCCATGAACTAAGTAATGTAGGCAGGCTCTAGAAGCTGAAAATGACTCCTAGCTAAAATCCAACAAGGTAATGGAGACCTCAGTCTACGACTGTGTGGAACTGAATTTTGCCAACAACCTGTATAAAACCCAGAAAGGGATTCTCCCCTCAGGGTCTCCAGATAAGAAGTCAGACAAGCCTGTCTAGACCTCTACCCAACAGAACTGTGACATAATAAATGGATGTTTTAAGCTGCTAAATTTGTGGTAATTTGTTACAGAAGTATTAGAAAATTAATACATAAGACAACTGAGCAAAAAAGCTGGCTTTCACCTTGAGGGTTCTTACTAAATCCCAGCAATCTTGAGTTTTACTTACAATGGATGTAGGAAGTAAGAGGTACAGGAGATAAAGAAAGCCTAGGTCTACTCAAAGTGGAGGAATGTAATAGGAAATCCCTGCAAGAAATCGAAACCTCAGTCTAAGTAGACATGGCAACTAAAAAGCCATTTTGAGATAAATTTCAAAGATATGAAATTTAACTAAGTTCTGTGAATTAACTGATAAGACTATAAAAGGCCAAGTTATAAGTTTCTCTAATTATTCTACCCATTTACTTGATCTATCTATATCTCAGTCCTCTAAGCAAATATAATATCTTGTCAAGTGTAAGTAAAAAACTATGTATGACACTTTCTACACAGCAAATTTACTATTGTTTAAGAATAGGCATTTGAAGTCTACTACTTAAGACTTTATAAAAAGAGAGGAAGCAAAAAACCAAAGGCTGAGTATTTTTCAACTATTGTGATACAATTATGACAAGAAACTTTTTGGAATTCAAGAATAAGAAGCAGTACTCTAAATGGTCAACCTAATTTTAGAAATAGTCTATGCGGCACTAAGTGTAGCGAAAAGGTAGTATCAATTGAGATAGGAATGAGGATACATATTGCTGTTTCTGTCTTTCTGTTATATAGCCAAAAGTTTAAGTATAAAATATTTCAGGACTCTCGACATTCATTTAGCTCTCTTTATGCATAAATCCAGACATATCACCATAAAAAATCTCATTGCTATTAAGTATCTTCAATTCAAATAACTGTACAAGTAGTGATTTAGGTGATCTGAATTCAGAATCAATAAATCAGTTTTACTTGTTTTGCTATTACATGAGCACAAAGGCACATTATCATTCGGCTCTAAACATATAGTACAGAAAACACACAGTATGTAAACATCTTTATTATACACAGATCTGCACAAAACCAAAATCATTTCATGCTCTTAATATTAAGTTTTAAGACAAAAACAAATAAGTAGACTTGGTCTTTCAAACCTGTTTTGATGTGAGTATCTTCTCACATCTTCTGCTTTTTGAAACTCCCTCATGGGTACTGGCTTAATTGGTGAACCCTATGCAAAAAAGCAGAAATAAATCAATTTAATATGCTTATCAAGAACACTGTGATTACACAGTTCACATTGAATTTGGCATTTAGGGATATGTATATTACGCTAAAAAACATTTTAACAAAATCTTCAAATGTGAGTTTTTATGTTCAAAGCATTTTAGGGTTTTTTACTGTCTTGGTAAACACAAAACTATTCATAATCCAAACATGTTATTTTCAAAAAAATAAATTTCCTTCTCACTGTATTATATAAATTATAGTTACCACACAGTAATATTTACTCAATGATAAGATATTCAAGCTGGAAAAGATCTTAGAGATCATCTAGCAACAAACTTTCATCTAGAACAGAAATTCCTACCTACCCTACCTACCCTGACTTTTGCTGGTAATAGGCAGTTCATTGGGCAGATTTCATTTCTTCTTCATCACCACAAATTATTACTTATGTTGGTCATATATACAGTCCTGGGGATGTTGGTGGAATATTAAGACAAAACAAAAAGTAATTTCTTTTTATGGTAAAATGACATTAAAAAAGAAATATTGGCAACTTATTTTTAAACTGAAGGGTAAAGGTCATTTAAAAAAACATTACTGAGGAAAATTAAACTGACTTGAGTAATATGTACTACATACTGAAAAATGAAATAAATCAAAGGTAGAAGCTTACAGGTTATCACAGTATGTATTATGTCAAATGAGAATCTATAGAAACAATACAATCTTATTTCAACACCAAAAATAATCATCAAAATGGGTATTCCTGAAAGGAAAGAAAACTGCTTATCCAAAAAGGATATCCAAACATCAAATGTAAAACTATATCTCTAAGAAATAAGTACATCACATATAAATATAAATCTTCTTTGGTGAGTTACTCTAAAGGACTAAAGCTGACTCTCTTAAATTCTGGGCATGAGGATCATATAAAATGAGATATAATTCTAAAATCCTGATGAGAGAATAATTATTCTCATTTCAGTGAATGTGGCTTTTAAAATTAACAAATGTATCTCCTAGTATGTTAATGTCAGTGACTTATCACCCTGGTTTTATAACACTACAATTATTTAAAATTATTGCAAGAGGTACATGCAATTTTCATGCCAAAATCAATGTGACATTGGTTTAATTTTTAAAATAAATATGTCATATTCTATAAATATGTCATACCCTATTTTATCATAATACTTCTATATATGTGAGAAGTACTATAATAAAATTAAATAGCAGCAGTATTTAAAATCTCAAGTAGATTAGTTTTTAACAACCCATTTTCAGACAGTATTCAAGACTATAAAAAAATTTCTTCACTGGTTATTAAACCATCTAAAATACCACTACTTCGTTTTTTATAGATGCCAAATTTTAGAAAGCCTGATGACAGAGAAGCTATAAAGAGCCTAATGACATAAAGACTACCACACATAATAGATTGTAGGAATTAAAAAAACATATTATTATAAACTAGCCAATACAATGGACTAAAGAAATCATATAATGTTTTTACCAATCGTATAATAGGCATTTTCATTTTTAGTAGAAACACCTCATTTATACAGCCTATTTAACCATAAGATGATCAAAGAGAAAGACCACAAGGAAGGAAAAAGGATTCCCGTTAAGATTATAGTGTGCATTGTTAATTTTAATTTTATTGCAAAGCTGTTGCTCTAACAGAGATGTTTATAGCCTGAACCACAAGTGGTTTCACTAATCACCTGGTACATACTGCTATCTCTGGGCTGCAGGACTTTGATTTATATTACTTTACCCAATTTTAAATACAAGAATGCCTTCTGAACAGCAACAAAAATTACTGTATTAAAAGCCTTCAGATAGGAAAACCAAAGGATTTTTTAAAGGAATGGTAATATCACTCCATAACATGTCCCACTTGAAATGATTATTCTCTATGTCATCATTCTCCAAAAAGGCCCCAAGTACTTCTCAAATAACTCCTGCTCTGAGCCTGGGACCAACTCCAGACATTAACGTCATACATACTGAAGTTGAGCCATTTTATTATGCTGACTAGATACGTCAAATGCTATTTCTATTTGAGATCCTAGGGGAACTGGCAGAGATTCTGCAGTGAACTGAATGTTCATTTGTTTTATGAGGCAACTCAATGCTCCACTATAAGAGACACCCAAGAATTTTAATGACAAACAATTCATATTCTGTTTGAGCATAAAAGTTCCAATATAATTAAGCTCATTATAAAAATTCTATGGTTAAGTCTGTATGTTGCTCCAAAAGTCATCAGTTTTGTTCAATTCTTAATTACTGATTAAACTTTGATTTACCAGTTAGTAACAATAAAAAAGCACTAAGAACAAGAATGAAAAGCATCATATTCCTTTGCATTTTCTTCAGAGGGATGGGATACTCACAGGACTCCTTTAATTCCTTTTTTGAGATTCTAGATTCTGTCTTTATTTGAACAATAAACCTAAACCCTATGTGAGCTTACTGTCTGATTTTTAAAACTAAATCTGAAAAATTTGGTAATGAATTGGAACTGAACATAGTAAAACAAATAATCAGGCCTAAACCAACAAATCACTGGTATGACAGAAATTTATACTATCATGAACTATTTATTTTGGGATTAGCAACATATTTAGGCTTTAATGTATGTCCTACCTCATGAGTGATCCGCCGTTGTTCAATATATGCCATAAACTGTGAACTGAGGCTGTTTGAATCCAGGCCCTTGGGCTGTCTGATCTCGTCCTCTTCTTCCTCTGCAGTACAGCTATCAATGTAGTCAATCTGATCCAGATCGTGTTCCACTGTCCACCACACACACACCCCCCCCAGAAAAAACATTCAAATTAGATAGCCAATTAAAGACATTAAATTGCATTCTTTCCTTCCCCTAACATTTGCTATTCTGAAAGTGGAAGGAATGAGAAGTTTAAATTATGTAAGCCTTTATTATTTATTCCACGGCCACCAACAAAAATAGGCTCCCCCAAAATTTTAGTCATAATTTACTAAAGAATACAGTAACTGATGGCAATTATTGGAATACAGACCTCTAATTTTTTTTTTCTTTGAATAGTTCTTGACTGTTTTAAATAAGACAGTCTGAATTTGTGAGACAATGAGAAGAAGAATAATTTTTAAACATCGAAAGGTACATCTTTTTTCAGGTTTTCTCCCATGTTTTAGGTTTGAGGTTTAATCATATCTCTTTGAAGACGTGGGGAGGCAGAAAACCTAACGCAATCAACTCAAAAGAAGAGAAAAGGTAGAAGGAGGGTGAACTTGGAGATAAAACAGATACTGTTAACTGTTGTCCATAACTAGAACAAAGATTTTCTATTTAGAAAATTGTTTTCTAGAGGTCAGCACTATAGATATTTTATAGCAGTTTATAGATGAAAGAAAATCACTTGAGGAATTTTTTCTTCTCAAAATGCTTTGAGGTAATTATAAAAAATTATGTTTACCTCCACCATTTGTTACTACTAAATTACTGCGATTCTCTTGAAACTGGTTTTCTCTCCGTAGTCTTTGTTCTTTAGTAATTTCTGCTACTCGAAGAGGCAGATCTGAAAATTCATCTGTAGGCTTAAAAAAAATAGCAGAAACATTAAACGAATCATTTCAAATTTTAGACTACAGAGTATTTAAAACATGGATATAATATAAACTCATTAAAATTTATATTTAAGAAGAAATAGCAAAAAGTTCTGGAGATACACAGTGGTAACAGGTTCTCAACAATGTGAATATACTTAATGCCACTGAAATATACACTTAAAAATGGTTAAAATGGTAGATTTTATGTTATGGACAGTTGACCACAATTTAAAAAAAAAGAAACAGAAAGGTATATATGACTCTATAAACATACATATGTACACAAATTTAAAGTATCTACATATATATCTGTTATGGATAGAGCCAAAATTATGTACACACATACCTAAACATAAATATATAAGAAATTCCAAATTACAAAAAGGCTGTTGTCTAAAATTAATTTGCTTTGAACTTCCAATGAAACAATGTTATAAATGGTAGGTTTTCCTAAGAAAAATTTATTTAATCATTTAACCCAATTTATAGCTAAAATACTATAACTGTAATTTTAAAACGAAAATAGAATACTAATTAAAGAAAAATGATATAATTAACTAAAAAAAGTCATTTATTTTGCGCATGTGGATATTCTTCAGTAAGGTTTCCATCTCATTCATTACCCATCAGCCTATAGTTCTATTTTCTCATCTTCTAGCACTGCTTTTATTACTTTCGCCCAAGATTACCCAGCTCTTCAAATTTCAGGCGTCAGCTGTAACTTGCTCAGTTCCCACTTGGCTTTCCAGGATATAAAACTATTTATATAAGAAAATGAGGTAAGAAACATGTAAAACACATGTGGTAAAAAGATGGTAAAGTAACATAATACCATTTGTGGATGGTATGAGTATGTGGGATTTTTACCCCTCCCTCGGCTTTTTTATATTTTATGTAATGAGAAATCGAATCCAATTAAGTGGCTTTCCATTTTCGTCATTTTAGTTTCCCATTAATTAGAAGTTACAACATACAGAACAGAAGAAACACTTACTTCATTCCCTGACCATCTCTTATCACCACTGTCCACACTATTGAAACCTGAATCAAGGGCTCCATAAGGGCGACCTGAGTACAGTTCTTCGTGGCTGCCAAAAAGAGACTTTAGTTGCTACTGCAAAGTTTGATATTCTAAAAATTAACACATGAAATAATTCAGATGCAATTTTATTAATACATATTTTCATGGCATTTAGAGATTTAACTATTTAAATGAGCATTCTTTAGATTTTTGATATGAAAAATTCCAAATTAAAATAGAGTAAACAAAATAATATAATGAGCTCCCAGGTACTCATTAACAGCGTCAAAAGTATCTGCATTTTGCCATTCTTGTTTCATCTATTCCTTCCATTTCCAATGCCCCCTTCAAACTGTTTTTATTTTTAACAGTACTCTTTATTTTAAGGTAAAATGTACATACATTGAAACGCGGATACCCTAGCTGTGTAATTTTGACAAATAAATACATCTTTGTAACGTAAACCTCTATCATGATATAGCACATTTCCACTTTGCAAGAAAATTCCCACACATCCCTTCCCAAGCAATTTTCCTCACCCCGCCACTGTGTGCTAAGAGGCAACCACCATTTGGATTTTCTTCATGTTACATGAGTATGGAAGCCAGAATAATGGTCCCTGAATATATCTAAGGCCTTAATCCTAGAACCTGTAAATATGTCACTTTACATGGCAAAGGAGAATTAGGGTTGCAGATAGAAATAAGGTTGCTGACCTTAAAATAGGAAAAGTATCTTGAATTATCTGAATGGACTCAATAGGCTCACAAGAGACCTCAAAAGTTGCAGAGGGAGGCAGAAGAGGACGTCAGTGTGATGTAATGCTGGCTTGAAGATGGAGGAAGGAGACCAAGAGCCAAGGAATGTGCAGACAGCCACTACAAACTGCAAAAGGCAGGGAAATGCTTCCTACGGAGAGCCTACAGAAAAGAATGCAGTTCTACCAGTATCTTGATGAGACCAAGATTTAGACTTCTGACCTACAGAACTATAAGATAATAAATTTTTGTTGTTTAAGCCTCTCAGTTTTTGGTAACTTGTTATGGCAGCAACAGAAAAGTAATTCAATTAGTTTTACTTATTCTAGAACTCATAAAAATGTAATCATTTTTTACTCGGCATCATGTCATTGAAAACTTCATATTAATACTGTGGAGTAAAATGGATGAATTATATAGTAAGTGTAGGTTTAACTTAAAAAAATTATCTCACTGTGGTTTTAATTTGTATTTCTCTCATGACCAGTGACATGGAATATCTTTTTGTATGCTTATTGGTCATTCGTTTACCTTCTTTTGTAAAGTGTTTAAATCTTTTGCCTATTTTAAAATGCAACATAATCTTGAAAATATTTTGCTAAGTAAAAAAGCCAGACACAAAATGCTACATGTTTGATTTTATTTATATGAAATTCTAGAAAACGCAAAACTATATTGACAGAAAGAACACTGGTTGCCTAGGCTGATGGTAGAAGGAAAGGACTTACGATATAAATGGGTATGAGTGAAATAGAAATAATGATTATGTTGGTAGTTTCATGATTATATCCATTTACCAAAACTCACTGAACGGCACACTTAAAATGGATAAATTTTATTATTTGTAAATTATACTTCAATAAAGCTGTTTTTAAAAATCTGTCAAACCAGTCTGGTCGATGTCCCATTTTTACATTTTTATAAGCAATGTATGACAGCACTGATAGCTCCATATTCTCACTAACATTTGGTGTTGTCAGTGTTAATTTTAGTCAGTCTAATGGGTGGGTAGTGATAGCTCATTGTGACTTAATTTGCATTTCCATGATGATTAATGATGTTGAATACTTTTTTGTGCTTATTGGTCATTGATATATCTTTCTTTGTGAAATATCTACTCAAGCATTTTTAACATTAAGTTGCAGGTATTCATTCTTTAGATAGTCTAGATACAAGTTCTTGTCATATATTTTGTGAATGTTTTCTCCCAGTCTGTAGTCTATTTTCTTAATATTTTTTTAGTCATGATGCTTTTTTAATTTTGATGAAATCTAACTTATCATTTCTTTTTTGTTATTGCATTTGTGTCCTCAGAAATCACTGCTTATCCCAAGTCACAAAGATACTCTCTATTTTCTAAAAGTTTTATAGCTTTAATTTTTGCTTGTTCTTAAACATACTTTTAAACGTTAGCTTAATTAGAAATCTAAAATGTGAAAAAATGTACTTTTAAAAATGGTCTATTAGCATTTTATTTAATAAGCTTGTTGGTTGAAAAACCACTTTAAATGGTATAAATTTAAAATAGTGTTCTAATGTTGGATTTTGTATTCCACATATTCTTATACATAATTCATGTACATAACTTTAAAGAAGTTACTATGTCATGCTGTCGCAATGAATTAGAATTTAAAGTACAGGGAAA